ATGATTGAGTCAAGGATAACGTGCCACTTAATTCAAGTCTGCTCTTAACAAGATCTGCCATTTGTTTCAAAATAAAGATTTCCAATTTGCGAGTAGTTTGACTAGTTTTATTTTTTTAAGTACTGCATAGATAAGATAATTATTGTTATAAATATTTTAAAAAAATGTTAACTGATCTCGTTGTACCAAAGTATAAAAATACATGGAACTGTTTTGCCCGCGAAATTTAAAACCGATGTATTGCTAATTTTTATTTCTTCATAACAAAGCGCGCGTGCGCGCGTACATTCCTTTTATGAATACTTACATTTGTAATTACACATCACATATTACACTTTTATCATTTGAATATGATAATATCCAAAACCTTTTTTTTACGTACTTGTAATTGCAATACTAATATTAAAAAGAATAGTAACAATCTTGTTCATAACATCGTCTAAATTGAATTATGATACAAGGATAGATAAAAGGACTATAAACAGTGTCGAAATAAATTAATTTTTTCATTATGACACGCATTTCGTAGCGTATTTTGATAATTTATTGCATTTACATCCAAAGATATTTATTCGATTCGATGAGCGATCGAAAACACGGTAGAAAGATGTCGAAGAATTCACTATCAATGTCGCTTCATATTACATGCGATTTTCATGACATTTATAAAACACAATATGAAAAGAACAAATTTTAAAATTTTCTCAGTAATCAGTAACTCAGATACGACATAACTTTCTCGTGAGATGTATATAACGGTATTTAACATCCTTAACGGCAGTATGTTCACTGCCTGAAACCTCATCTCAGGACTTACCACCGAAACCACCCATTAAATTTCCCAATCCACCTGCAGCGCCCTGTTGTAATTGTTTCATTATATTTTGTAATCCAGGCATACCACCTAAAACAATTATATATCATCTATAGAACACGTTACAAATTTTAAAACAAGAAATAAACTAAACTGAAAAAATATAACGTGGAAAGAAAAAAAACATTGAGACAATCCTTATTTTTAAAACTCTGTTATAAAGTATTTAATGACAAATTTTTAAAATTAATATTTAATAACAAAATAAATAATTTTTTTTACATATGAAAAAGTATGTGTATATTTTTAATATTCATTAAAAAAAGATTTTATAAAATTGCTTACCCATTTGATGTAATACTCGTGGATCCATCATTTTAGCCATTTGATGATTCAGTTTTGCCATTTGTGTGGGATTAACGTTCTTTGCCATATCTCCTGCCTTGAACAAACCCTTTATGCCTCCCATTTTTTTAACAACCGCTGCAAACTTTGTATACTGTGTAATTAAATCTTTGACCTCTTTCTCTGTTACACCAGAACCCCTTGCTACTCTTACTATCCTTCCAGGTTGTTTGCTGAATAATTTAGCTCCATCTCTACTATCCAGCTCTGAAAAGATGACATAATATATCGAGAAATTAAATAATTATTGAGGGAAAATATAAAGGAAACATTTTAAGTAACGAACCTGAATCGTTCATACTATCCATAATAGTCATGAGTCGTTTTAATCTTGCCATCGATTCCTGTTCTGTCCCTTTCGACATAAAATCTTGGCTAAATCCAGGAATCATACCCTACATATACAAATTTAAAATTGCAAAATATTAGACATTGTAATATTTAATTTTCACTTAAACATTACAATATATATATATATTTTTTTTTAATTTCTATCGTTATTTACCATTAATTGTGAAAATGGTCCCATCTTCATGATATTTTGAAACTGTTCATACATATCTCGTAAAGTAAATTGACCATGTTTGATCTTTTCAAGTAATTCTTCGTTATCGTCTAGATTGAGCTCATTTACTTTGTCAATGAGACCTTCAATGTCTCCCATACCCAGTAACTTGCTAATAAATGGTTTTGTTTTAAACGGTTCTAGATCGTCTATGTGTTCTCCTGTACCAACGAATATTACAGGACTTTGTGTCGCTGCAACACTGAAAAAATATTAAATATATATTTTTATTTTGCATAAATATGTAATAAACAAAAATACTAAAATAAAATTAAAATTACTAAACTGAAAATAGAAAAAGACTTACGCAGAAAGTGCTCCACCACCTTTAGCATGTCCATCTAATTTTGTGATTATAATGGAACCGACATTGACGCGTTCTTTAAAAGCTTTCGCCTGCGCTTCGCATGCTTGACCTATCGTCGCGTCCATTACAAAGATTATATTGTCTGGTTGCTGCGATATTCGAAAATTAACATTAAAAATTAGAATTAAAAAATTCATTATTTCTAATATTACAAATTTTGTACGCAAATGCGTACAACAGATGTATTATAACTTTACCACAGCATTGGCGACTTGCAACATTTCCTCGAACAACGATTCCTCTTGTTTATGTCTTCCACTTGTATCTACAATAATAATCTCATATCCTTCCTTCTTAAACATATCGACACCATCCTGAGCGATTGCTACAGGATCTACTTCCGTATAACTACATTTAAACATTATTATCATTAGCATAATAGAACATTAAGAAATAGTAAATTTTTTGTCCCAACTGTTTACCTGCCATAAAATGGTATTCTGGCTTTTGTAGCATTTTGTTTGATCTGATCGTATGCTCCAGCACGAAAAGTATCAGCGCATACCAAGCAAGCTTTCCAGTTTTTTTTAAGATAGTGATACGCAAGCTTGGTACAACTAGTTGTCTTACCAGAACCTTGCAAACCGACAAACATAATTACGTTAGGACGGCCTTTTACAGGTTGATACGCTTTAACACCAGGATCAATTAGCTAAAAGAAAAAATTGTTAATTATATATATTTAAACATTGAGAATTACATTAATGTTTCAAATATACAGATATCATAATTAAAAATTCAAACCAACCTTCACAAGTTCTTTGAAAACTGCGCTCTGTATCATCCTTCTTTTATTAAGGCCACCAGCCATATCTTCAAAGTCGATAACCTGGCGTACATTTTCTCGTAATTTTTTCACTAATCTAATATTTACATCAGCTTCAAGTAATGCCGCACATATTTCCTTTAGCATAGAATTTAAAACCTATTGAAATAGAAACATTGTCATAAAGCTAGTACATAAGTATACAACCAGCATATAGAAAAACAATTTATATCAATTATATCAAGAAAACAATGGCACATTTGATTATAAGAATATAATTATAATATAAGAAATTATTTTAAGGACTAAGGACTTTATTCATTTTTGGCCCTTAATTATTTATTTTCAACAACGAACTTGATTTGTTTAGATTTTTATTAATGCAGAAACCTAAAAAATTCTAACCAGGAGAATTATTTCCAATAAATGGAAGAAAATTATTTTTCAGAAATTGGCGCAACGTCTGCGTGAAGTTGTCATTTTCCATTTTTCTTGGACGAATCGGAGATACAGGCTAGAGCGGTAAACATAGCTTGACACGTGCGACACACACGTCAGACAAACGAAGATTTCGAGGCGCCCCAAGCTGAAACGCGAGGAACATCGGGCGTGGGCGTAAAAAGAGAGAAAAGGGAAAAACCGCGAAGCGTCCTAATCTTTTTTGTTTACAATCATCGTCGGGAAATGTTCCGCGCATATTGCAGACTGCGATAAACAAAACTCACCTCCTCGTTGATGACGGTCGCATTGCTGAGCGATCGCAACGCGGACGTAATTTTACGTCCGAGATCCGCCAAGACCATGTTTGGACGTTCTCGCGTTTACCGTCCGGCCGCGAAAAAAATATACGTCTCGGCGTAAACGATTAAGATTTATTAACGTATAAAATCTGTCATGATGTCCCACAGCTCGGCCAACTTGGCATGACGACACATCCGGTCGCACGGGGGAGCGATCTCGCACGAGGTACGATCACGTCCTCGTCGTCGTTCGTACGATCGGTTGTCCGATTGAGTGTGAAAGTTCACGGCGACAATGTCTTCCATTCACGCGTCCCGCGCTCCGTCAGAAGGCTCGTCCGACTTGTTTATACATAAACCGATGATGAGATTCCAGATGTGACCGCCGCCGTCCGTATCGATTGGAACGCACGTAGCAATATACTCGATACTCAACACGATGCGTCTATATCCTCCTTCCCCTCCTTCCCTCCCGGTATCTCTCACCGCGACCGAGTCGGGCACTTCCGGATTTATGAAACGTGCGCACTCGATCTGATTCGTTCTTTACGTTTGCACTATGTTACACTTTTCGCACTTGAAATGAGCGTAGAATCAGATGTTGGAAAGAGAAAGATGAAGGAGAACAAAAAAGTTCGGCTATGATCAGACAGAGTAATATAAATTTGTTACTCAGATACATCAGATACTTTTTTATACGACTGTAGAAATTATTTGTATAAAAATGGATTGTTTTATTTTGTCCGCATTGCTTGGGATCTACTGAGATTAAGAGAGAAAGAGGCAGGACGGAGAGGTTAAGTGCGAACATGCAAATAGAACAAGCCGGTGTCAATCGCTAGCCATTAACTTCACGCCGGTTGTAAACATTTGAGTAATTTATTGGTCTATAAAGATATGTGAGTCATCAAAATCAAAGTAACATAATTTTATATGTATATATATTACATGATAGAAATATATGAAAAATACAAATTCAAAATTTGAAATTTACTAGAAATTATTAAAATACCATTCATCACTGACATAATAAAATATAGAAATCATATTTAATATCAATTAAAGGTACTGAATAGCAGTCGTTTGTCAACAAAAAGATTCAGTTATGATTCTTAAAATTATAATTTCTCATGTGTAATACTAATTTCACGAAAAAAAATATTTCATTATAATAGAAACGAAATATGTACTCGAAATATGAATTGAATTACAAAAAAATTAAGCATTATTTTTTGCATTTTTTATTTTAGACAAAAAACTTTCAAAAAAATAATGAACTTTAAAAACAAAGCTATCAGTCCTCTTTTAAAAGTGATAAAGACTTATAATCCTTTTCTTTAAAAATTGCAATTGTGGTGAAAGAAAAAGGGAAGTTAAAACTCTACTATTTTTCTCTAGGTAGTTAAGGTTGCTTATATAACAAACAACCTTGTAGCACCATCAAGAACATCTTGCACTTTTTCAGAATATTACCTAAACTACTCCAGCTTGGCACTTTTTGAATGTATGTGAAACAGAAGTCTTTATTCAACAATTAACATATCGTTGTACAAAAGTATCTGAAATCAAAATCATCTTATCCCCTCCATTAAATTAGAAGATGGGAAAACAAAATAAATTGTATAAGAATGATGTATAATTGCACAGAATTGTAATGTAATGAATTTATTTATCATTATTCTAAATCCCAGCAGAGAGTATGTTAAAGTCTTAGGTTTGTTCATTTCGCATGTATACAGAGGAACTTAAAATTTACAATTTTTCGATATAATTTTGCTGCAAAAGAGACGCGCGCGATACTATATGTTAATTAATCAGAAAGTTAATCTATGTTACACACTTTCCTCTTTTATGATTCTATAATCATTATACTGAAGATAAAGTCGCTTTGTTTCTTTAAAACAACACAACGTAGCAATAATATATATATTTATAATGTATATACACATGCCATATATTATACGTTGAAAATGAGGTACAGGTCATTGACTTCAGAGAAATAACACAATGTCGAATGTGATAGTGAAATCTTATTTCATACCTAGTTGGACGTGGCAGTTGAGAGAGAGTGAGTGACACGCGTATAAATTTGCTTTTTCCAAAGTGAAATATCAACGCGCGTGCAATCTTAATTTTTTGCTGCTAAAGTGCCGTTTCCAGGTGCTACCGACATTTCACCTCCTTGTGTACTGTCACGTTGAGGGCTCTGTCATGGTAAAACAATATATAATTTGGCAAAAAAGTACAGAATACTTTTACGATTAATATTTATAAAGCAATGGATAAAATATAATTTAAAATAACACTTTTTTCTTTTTTAGTCAATTTACCTTCACATGAATTTGCTGTTTTAACATTGCAGCTCTTAAGATCAACATACGAGTACGTCTCTGATAATCTTTTCCAACACTCATGGATTTCTCAAAAGTAGTGCTACGTTGATCAACATCTTTTGCATACAAAATCTGTAATATAATATATATATATATATATATTACTAATAATTATGTTAGTTGTACAAATAGCACACAATTCTATATAATTCGTTAAAATATATTTTTATAGATTTGGCTATGAAAAGTAGATATAATAGAAATATACATAAGATATACATAAATCAAGATTGTGAATAATTTTTACCTTATTGTGTGAATCTATACGAGCTTGAATCTGACCGTCGAGAATAAGTTGCATGAGCTCGTCTTCTAATTCGGATACAGTTCTATTGAATGCAGTTGCCATTCGTCTCATGTCTGCGCTTAGATAAGGACTAAAGTATTGTATCAAGGCTCTATTTCGAATTTGCGTATACAATAGGTTCACATGAGGCGCTATATACATATCCAGGAGAATATTATCCTTTATCTCATCGAGCAGTTTCAAACAGGATGCATATTTTGATTCATAAAATTTGAAAATTATATCTCGAAGTTGAGGCTCTAATTCTAGAAATAATTTGAAGGAACTACTAAATATAACTTGTTTTTGCAATTCGTGTCTGTCGAAGGTAGCTAAGGCGCAAAGTCCTCCGTAGAGAGCCACGTTTCCGGGGGACAGCAGTTCGGGGCAGTCGCAATGATCCAGGGACGCTTGTAGAAAATGTTTTGCGGCCATTTTATACTTTCTCGTTGCCAATTCCGCTAGGCCTGCCGCTACTTTTAACTTCGTGACTATCGCTTGATTATTATCTTTACCATGTAATTCCGGAAAGTCTGGTGTACTTTCAGCCTTGGTGACATAACTAAGTACATGGGACCAGTTTTGTAAATAAACAGAAACTTTGATTACATTTAAACACATGTTCACGACGTGTTTGCCACTGGTACAATAATCCCGTGCTCTAGAATAACATTTCAAAGCATGAACAAGATCACCACAATTCAAATAGTGGTCTCCTAAGTCGTCATGACCTCTTCGTATGCTCTCCTTGATAGAATTGCTTTTGTAATTTTTTAAATCAGTATCAAACTTCTCTAATTTGAGAGCAGCTTTCTTAGATCGTGTCTCCACCCATGTTTGATCCATCGTCGGCATGTCCTGAGAGGTTGACTGTGCCGCTATGTCTGGCAATCCAGGAGTATAGCCCATTGCTTCTACGAGTTTCTTATGGAGTAATATATAAAGCGCAACGTTGTACGTGGTCATCACATAAGTAATTGCCATCTTCAACGCTTCTATTCGTAACGATGGACAATGGTCGGCGATATATATAAGCCTATGTAGTTTCGCAAGTCCGGTATAGCTGTTGGCATATACTTCCAAGTCCTGATGAAATAAAATGCAATATAGGTATTATAGAAAAGGATCAGATTTCCATATTCAATATAAGATAATTTCTATTTTAAATGATTTCTTTTATACGTACTAGTGTTGGATTCTCTACTATATACGGTTCTTCCTCAGCATTATCATTATCTTCTGTAGGAGCATCAACCTGCATTGGCTCCACGACATTTTGCTGTGGAAAGGAACACACATAAAAGTACTATTCGGATCCTTCGCTTTATTTACATGAGGATACTTTAATCAGAGAAAATCGGCAACGACAAAGAAATGCGAGTCGAGATAACCTCTAACAATTTTTTCCCCCTCTCCCCGCCTTCTCGAAGAGTCGAATGATTTGGAAGAAAAATTGCTTGTACCCATGACTTCGACGGGATAATTACCTGAACGTCGTGAACTTGCAGCGGCATTATTAGCCTTATCTGTTATGTTAAAACGGTAACTCGTCGTGCAGCTATTGTGATAGAAAAGATTTACCGCTCGTGAGAGAGTGAGATCTCGCGTACCATGTATAAATTAAATACGGCAAACACACACGCGCACACGCAACCGCGTGTATACAGAGCGTATAAATGCGTGCGAATCCGATGTACACCGGATTCAAAGAGCGGTGAGCGTCGTCGATATGACAAAACTCCAATTCCTGTAATGAGATGATGACTTCTGATTGGTTGTTCAAATCGCCATTTCCAACGAGCAAAACAGGCGCGAAATTGAAACATTAGTGTCTAAAAAGAAAAAACAATGTTACATCGCCGAGAGACGATGTAACATTATTTAAAAATCGTCAATCTTGGGAAAATTTTCGTGACTATTAAAAGAACCTCAAGAGTTCGAAAATAATTATTGATATTTTATTAAATTAATATTTTATTGTTCATATATAAATTTTTCGCCAACATAAATATTTAAATTATATAATTTATACGTTAATAAATATTCATAGTTTATTATTATAAATCTACCAGCAAAAGCACTTAAATTTCTATGTAAATAATTAATGATACTTAACTAAATGTTTTATTTATAATATTGTTGCTCAATAACAAAATTGCTCGAGCAATTAATCGTTGATTAAATTAATCTGAGCTTGTCTGAAATTCCTCTTATATCTATTTCTATCAACATAGATTAATTTTATCATAGTTTAATTTATTTTTTATCTCCTTTTAATTCTTAGAACTAAAGAGATAAAAAGTAAATTAATCGAGATTAAAATTAATACATTGATAAAGATATTAGTTTTTATTGATGAGACGAAAAAATGTAAATCATGTCACGACAATATTCCTTTTATTCTCCGCGTGCATTTATTCCGAAAAAATTCCTATGAAATTTCTTATCGTTGCCAGATTGTTGTTTGCGGCAAATGATTTATAGCGGAAAGTTTTCTCTCCCGAAATGTCATGCGAGAACTTTCCATTATGCGCATTCATCGCATTCGGAAACATCGCTGTCTAATGTCCACTTCTTCAACATAAATTGACTTTATTCTCAGTTTAATTTACTTTTCATTTTCTTTGTTTTCAAAAATTAGAAAAAAATAAAAAGTAAAAGTAAATAAAAAGTAAATTAAATCGCATTAACTTAATCCACATTAGTAGAAACGAACATAAGTCCTAAGCCTTCCGTGACCAGAAATAATCATGACGAAGTCTCGTTAAAGTAACAAATAAATTTATTTATAGGATGGCCAAGGAGCACGAAATAAATAATCGCAATGTCGGAAGTCGAATCGTTTGGAATGATTGTGAACCAGATTTCGTACATCGTTTTCCGACCGAATCCCTCTCGATGAAGGAAAATTTCAGAAAAATCCTTGAGTAAGAGATGTGTCTCATTGTCGAGTCATCGCGCCGCTATCGTAGAATTTAGCAATTCGCGCCTCTGTCTCGCTCGACGATTTTGAAACCAGATTTTAATCTGCAAAAGAATCGGATTTCGATTATTAATCAGCTTTTCCAATCGCATGGAATAACTTCTTTATTTGCCAGAAATGGAATATGGATACGTTTTATCCGCAGAGATTCGCGCGAATGAAACGTATCCATATTTCATCGCGGATGAATCATATCCATATTCCAACGCGGATGAAAAATTATTTAAATATAAAGTAGAGGTGTGTTTTAGTAGAAATGAAATTAAGAAATAATGAAAAAAATTTCAGATCCAAATTCTGGATTGTAACCGCCGCAAAATTTTTAATTTTATTTATTATTTTTAAATGCGATCTAGAATAATCTATAATTTTTTCATAATTTCTTCATTGTAAATAAGAATAGATGTAATATATCCTTAATCAATAATGGTCACGACGAAGGGGGTTCAAACAAACGATCGACGTACTTTGCTCTGCGGCAGACGCAGCGTCGCTGACATTTCGACGACGTCGTTCTTGGAGAGGTAGGCGCTCTTCCTGTACCTGTCCTCCAGTACCTGCAACTGGGACGAGGAGAACGGGATGCGGGGATGATCGCCCACATGTCGCTTGACTCGCTTCTCGGTGAAGGATCTCCTGGGCAGCCTCGGCGGCCTGTACCGGGTGTATTGGAGCCACGTCAGATCCGTCTGCCGTATCGTGCTCCCGTCGTCGCGGTCGACGACGGGAACATCGCGATACGTTTCACTTGGTATCTCGCGCTCTTCCAGCCTTTCCTCGGGCTGCCCCGCGTGCCCTTTCCGTTCACGATCCCCCGTGCTCTGTCGCGGATGATCCCCGCGCTCCTGCGAGGACTCTCGCCGTTTTCTCAGAGACGCCGCGTTCGGACACTCGTTCGCGAGGATGCGGGCTATGCTGAAATCCGTGTTCCCCGTCTGCGAGCCCCGTATTTCGCTCGTCATCCCGAGAATCCCGAAACTAAACTTCCCAGAAAACAAACCCTTCGCTCTATATATATATATATATATATATATATATATATATACACACAGTGGCCGAGGGCACACGCCCAGGCCTCGTGGGGCACGTTTTACCCCTCTTTCTTTCTTTCTCTCCCTTTTTTTTCGCGAGGCGCATCCTCTTTGCGGACATATCCAAATTAGACGCATGATTGCACCGCGCGATGGCTATCATCGTGCCGCTCGCACGACGGACGGAGGCTACGCATCGTTAAACGCTCCTATGTACCTGTCCCATTGTTGTGTATGCTCTTATACCAGTGCATTATCTGCGATCTGACCGCATCTTTCCGGCTACTCCCCGGGTAATAACAATGTAATTGATACTCTGTAGCAGAGGGAACGGATACAGCCGACGCGGAGCGGGGAACGGAATCCCGGCTCGGATGCCCGATTTCTATGGGCAGATGTTCCGGCGCACTGAGGCCTGTATAATTAAAAAGCCATGGGGGTCATCTTAATCCGGTAATATATCCATCTCGTAAATGTAAATATTGAACAGCGTACGGGGAATATAGTCCCTCCCTCCTTCCCCCCCCTCTCTCAGTATATTGTTAGTCTATCTGATACTTAGGTCTTTTTCTCTCTATCTGAAATAGCTTTTACGTCAGATGATACTCGAGCGGATTGAGAAACCGTTGCTTTGTACTGCTACTTGTTCGGAAATTTGCAATTTTGATCAACATTCGAGGAAGAAACCGGGAATAAATAAAAATTGTTCTTTTCTTCGTCTCGTCTCTCCCCGCGCGCTTCTCATCCTGGGAACCTTTCCAGATAATTTGCTAAATAGATCCAAATCGAAAACAGAGATGACGATAATCTGTCGTGGTACTTCAATGGCGAATCTGTTAACATGTTTTGCTTATATTGGATTAATATCAGGTTGCCAAGTTCAAGTTCGAAAACAGGTGTTACAAAGTGTCGACTTGCAAATTTTGTTGACGGAATGCCAGCTGAGACGCAGCAAAATTTGTTAAACAAGATACGATGGCAGATCGTAGAGATAGAAAACGTTGCGATGAGAAAAGTGTGCCATGACGTTTAATCTTCGTGAATTTTCACGTCAGATTATATTGACTCAAGCGAATTTTCAACTTTATGGCTTGAAACGTTTCATTATTTTTTCTTGTGATGATAAAGAAATGTCCGTGATTTCAATGTGTTAACTTTATTTATTGATAGACAGCTAAAGCCCGAAAATTTTAAATTTTGATAAAATATCATAGGACTCTCGAAAATGTCACAATAAGAAATGTAAAGAAATGCAAGAAAATTCCCGTATATACTGGTCCTCATCACGGGGTCTCAAGTTTAATTGTTCGTTAATTTGTTTTACAATACTATTTATTTTAACTATATTTTAACTTTATTTTACTATTTATTCCGTTGACAATGGCTCGAAAAAATTGAAAACGAAACATTCAAGTTAGTATTAAAAACAAGGATTTTTAATACAAATATGTCTATTAAATATTTGCGCACCGATAACAGCGTTTGATTTGACTCAATTGCTTTACATCTCTTAGTGTTTAAATTTTAAATTTGACATTTTTACATCGACTCGAGGTGAGTACAAGCGTAATTATGATTTAGATGACTTAAGGATTAGACGTTTACGAAATGATGACGGATTCGCCGATTTGTAATCAAATTACGTTAATGAATTCTACGAACAAAACAAGTAAGTTTAATGCGGATCCGTTGACGTCAACATCCCGAAATATCTGACTGATGTCCATTTCTATCGATGTCTATGAATTCTAATCTCAATTTAATTTACTCTTTTAGTCTTTTTCTAATTCCTAAAACTAAAAAAAAGATAAATAATAAAGATAAATAAATGGTTGAGATTAAAATTAATTTACATTAATAGAAATGGATATTTACTATGGATTTGCTGATATTTTAATTATATTTGCTAAAAACGTAGATCAATTGCGTATAACTCGGCAAATTTTCTATTTTTTTCTCTATAATTTTTTAAATATCTTTTTTATATCGTTTTGCTCGCTGAATCATTTGCGAAGGATAAAGGATATGTCTGTTTTGCTACGTTCGAAGACAAAAAGGAGTGCAAATAAAAACTATACAATTTACATATCGATCGCGCGCGTGGTATAGATTATCCTTCGAATTATCGCCGTCACGCAAATGAACTCGTTATTTCATCAGTGAAATTCTCCGTCTCTCGGATGTATCTGTCATTTTGTAATTGCATAATTGCGCGCTGAAATAAATCGTCCCGCCGCAGTCGCGTTTTCTCCTTCGTGCATGTCCCAAAGGTCAGAAGCGCGGCACGCACGAATGGAAAAACGAACGAGTTTCCCGGGCGACGAGTCACGTGCACGCGCGTTTCGTTTTCGTATCTTAACGTACGACTCGCGAAAGAGGAGGCCGCGATAGACATAGCAATGACGTTGCCGACTATCAAGGCCGCGAAGCGCTCGCTCGTCGATTGCGTCAGTCCCTGATAAATTCTCTTCTCCTTTGGGACAGATTTTAGCGCAGATAGAATCCTTATCTCTCATCTCGGAAGGCAGTTCGGAGAGCTGATAATCCGTTGGCGGTTATCGGCCGCGAGCTTCCGGAGATTCGCGATGAAAATCGACCTTAACCGGATAGGTTAGATTCCGCGGAGTTGGCGCGTGCGAGCGCGAGCGTGGCGCGATAGAACGGAACGGCGGGAGTGGGAGCGAGTGCGAAAATCGCGAGGGGGGCAGACGAGGAGAGGGAATCCGCCGATCAAGAGTGGCGGCGGGTCTTCGCCCACTGATCGTTGTTCGAGCCAGTTCCGACCGATTTCCGTCGCGTCAGCTGTTCGGCGAGGAAGCGAAATCCGCCGACGTGCGCTGGTTGAACGGCGACGCGTAGACAGTCCTCGCGAATCGGCGAACGACCCGACGAGTCCGTGTCTATCTGTGTTCGCGTGCTCCTGCTTCCCGAGAATGCAACAATCCCAGACGAACGGCAACGGTACTCCGGCCTCGCCGAGGAAGAAACAGCGGACATCCACCGAGGGCGTCAGCGACGGCGGCGGTCTTATATCGAAGGTCACGGTGGTCCTCGGGGCGCAATGGGGCGACGAGGGCAAAGGGAAGGTCGTGGATATGCTGGCGATGGACGCTGACATTGTGTGCAGGTGTCAGGTACGGTATCATCCCTCTCAATCCTCACTCCGTGTAGGCCGATGCGACTCCCGCCACTTTCAATCCCTCGGATTCTCTCGGGTTCGAGAACCCGATTTTCGTCAACCCTCGCGGAATGACGCGAACGACACGTGACAATGATCGAGCTTGGCTGGTTCTTCCGACAAGAGAGAACGTGATCGTGACATTCTCGGCCCTTCCCAACGTCGATTGATCGAGGAATACGCGCGAGGGCTCGGGGACTAGGTTAGTCACGCGCCGTCCTTCCCCCTTTGGGAGAAATGTTAAAAAATATTCCCTGAAAAAAGCCGCTTTAACATCCGCTGTCGCAATCGTCACTTGCAAAACGGAAGATACGAAAGTCTTGTCCTATTCTTTTTTACAGTCTTATTTTTAGCCGCGTGTCACCTGACCTGTGCGAGCCATCGCAAACGTCGCTTGACGGTTTAACCCAACGGCTGGTATTATATAATTGACGGTTATAAACGAAATTTGTTTCCAAGGAAAGAAGAGAGACAGACGTCTGCGAAATTAGCGGCGTATCTTTATGACTCGGAATGACGAATTACTTGATATCTTTCGCGTGTAATATTTTTCTCATGTCGAGAAACATGGAGTTCCTTTTTTTATCTGCTTCAAGAATGTTATCTTCATTTAATTAATGAATATCGATGCTCTGTATAATTAATTCGTAATTAATTACGCTAATATAATCAGGATTATGTAATGTCAGCGTATTATTATGTACATTATCTTTATGAAAGGAGTAACAATGTTTTTATGTATATACATAAAAAAAATGTATTATATATCATTAAAAATAATACATTATTTTCTTAAATGTGATTTAATAAAAATTATAATATACATGTTCAGTGTATGAATGTTATTTTTTTATGTTTTATTTGGCGATTTTTTATCTGCAGTGAATATGCAGTAAATGCTTCTAATCTATTCTATCCTGATTGCAATGCCACTGTTTATGTTGTTAGAAAAAGTCCCTTGTGTATATTTTGATTTTTAATTCGATGATTAAATTGCAACACGTTCTTTTTCCTGATGTAAATAATGGCGTGCCCTGTATCTTCAAGTACTAATGTAATTTCGCAGGGAGGAAATAATGCAGGGCATACTGTAGTTGTAGAAGGTGCCGAATTCGACTTTCACCTTCTGCCTAGTGGAATAATCAATCCCAGATGCAAATCCGTAATAGGTAATGACCTTTTCAAATCAACCAGTAAAATTAATTTGAATGTAGATGTTCTGGTTTGTATTTGAGAAACAGTAATGTGTCTTTATGATGATTTTAATGATTAATATAAGACGAAAGAATTATAGAATAACACTTATGAAGATAAATGTACGAGATATTAAGATCATGATATATTGAATAGACAATTATTCCACTTGTTCAAGTAGGTTTGCATTATGTCTCTTGTGGTATATAGATATGTATTAAATAGTTACCTGAATTTTCTGCTAAATGTTACAGGTTGTACATACAATTGATATTATTTATTTTGGGGCTTTCTTTTGTTTCCAGGAAATGGAGTAGTGATACACTTACCTGGTCTATTCGAGGAATTGGAGAAAAACGAATGTAAAGGACTTAAGGATTGGGAGGACAGGCTTATAATATCGGATCGAGCACATATAGTGTTCGATTTTCATCAACAGGTCGATGGATTGCAAGAATTGGAAAAGGGCACACAGTCCCTGGGGACTACGAAGAAAGGTATAGGACCAACGTATTCGAGCAAAGCCGCTAGAAATGGACTTAGAATTGGAGATCTCCTCGGTGATTTCGACAAGTTCTCTCAAAAGTTTAACACTTTGGTTACGTCGTATCAGAAAATGTTTCCTGCCCTGCATGTCGACGTTAAAACCGATTAGAGCGTTATAAGATGTACGTATAACAATCGCTTTCTAATTGAATCAAATTTTTGATGCATAACGACACAGCAACTAATTCTTTTATAGATACGCCGAACGTATAAGACCATATGTGAGAGAAACAGTGCAATATTTGCATCAAGCTTTAAAAAATGGCAAGAAAGTTTTGGTGGAAGGTGCCAATGCGGCAATGTTGGATATTGATTTCGGAACTTATCCATACGTTACAAGTTCGAATTGCAGTATAGGTGGTGTATTGACTGGTCTCGGTTTACCTCCTAGCACAATCGGCGAGATAATCGGTGTCGTGAAAGCCTATACTACTAGAGTCGGTGATGGACCTTTTCCCACGGAACTTTTAGATTCTACGGGAGAGTTATTGCAGAAAAGAGGCCATGAGATCGGTGTAACTACAAAGCGAAAGAGACGGTGTGGATGGCTCGATCTACCGTTGCTGAAATTTACAACTCTAGTTAATGGGTATATAAAATGATTTATCGTATTAAAAAAAATGTGTTTTTTTTATTGCAATAGTCGTGTTTACCATAATCTTTGTATATAATATTTGTTATGTTTATCTCATTTTAGATACACTTCTATATGCTTAACAAAACTTGATATCTTAGACACATTACCTGAAATAAAAGTGTGTGTTGGATATCGATTAAATGGAAAGGCCATTGATTATTTTCCGGGCAGTACTTGGGAATTAGCAAAGATCGAAACGATATATGAAACGATCGAAGGTTGGCAATCCACTACAGAAGGTGTACGTTCCTTGGATAAATTGCCGCCTAATGCACACAAATACATACAAATCATAGAGGAGTACTTAGATGTGCCAGGTACGTAACGTCTTTTTTTTGTATGTTGCTATTTACGTTAGAATTTATGATAGAATCAAGTACAAAATTGTCTATTCTTTTACAGTCAAATGGATCGGCGTGGGAGCAGGACGAGAAAGCGTGATCATCCTCTGACGATATACGATCCATGAAATGTTACTTAAACGCACGGCATTAAATGTATTATTAATTTTAATTCTATCCACATTAACATTTGCAATGCAAAGCTGATAAACGCATAGGAGATGTACTGTAACAATAAGTTTTCAGTGAACGTAGTATTAATCTTCAACTTGAGCAATGTAAACATGCATTGTACAATTGTAATGCAGCAATGTGAATGCTTAGTCATTTTGTAGTCTATATAACAAATGAGTCGAAGATTATTAAAAAGAAAGAATATTATATTACAATGTATTTTAAATTAATTATCTGTTTCACTAGAGATATAAAAGTATTTTTGTTCATCAGTTTATTACTTTTTAAATTGATTCTGGTGTACAAAATATAACTCGCCAAATACTGAATTTGATATAGTATGCTATCGTAATATTGTTGGAAAAGTTAAAATATGTAAAGGAAAAAATATATACATATTTAAGAAAAAAAAAATTTTTTCTGTACTGATTAAAATTTTATTCCGTTACGCGCATGCGCGTTGCCACTGTAATTCTAACCATATATACCATCATAAGTAAATTAATACATGTGGAATTAACTAAGAAGGAAGAATTAAATATGCTCAGAGTTGTATTTAACTTTATTGTGAGAATTAACAAAATAATAATTTATATATAATAAAGAGTAATAAAGTTTGAAGAAGTAAATGTTATCGACAATTCTTTGGAGTTGAAGCACTTTCATCACGCACCAAAAAAAGAGAAAAATACAATTCGTAAGTTCCGTTATTTTGTAAATAGATGTATGCAACAAAAAGAGTTCGAAATATATTTTTCACTCGTATTTCGTAAATCTATATGACATAGCTTGATATTACACTTACAGCGCTATATATTTTATCCTTGATCTATATATTTTCATGGAACAATCTATTTAAATATTGCAAAACCAATTGTTTATTTTATATTATGTTCTTTACTGTGATTGCATGTGCGTATGTAGAATGTGTTCCATTCATTCGTTTCGGGAAATCGTGCATTGTTGACATTGTATAAATATGATGAATATCAGCGTAGCATCTTATTAAGACTGAAAAAAAGTCATAAAAATACTGACGAAAACGGCTTGAAATAATTGAAGTGAAAGTAGGTAACGTGAAAGCAACCTACATTTTCAAAACTTTAGAAATGTACTCATATTTGTACATACATCTAATCGTGCATAGAAAATTTTATATGGTAACTAATGTTATAACTTTAAAATTGTTAATGTTATATACCTGATTATTTTTTTATTCTAGATAATTATGTAATAATATCAGGGTTTTTATAATTTAATCTCATTCTACTGCTTTTATTATATAGAATGATTTTTCTGATAATTTGATAAAGTTAGTAGTTTCTGTATAATAGTATATCTGATAAGATATTAGAAATTCACATAAAAATGTTGATAAGTTTTACATGAAATAACAAATTTTAAATTGCAACATGATATAAGAAAAGAATACAATCAAAATGCATAAAAATATTGATTATTTATTAAGCCAAGAATAAGTTTTTCATGAAATATATATCATATAAGTGCAACAATAAGAAGTAATCCTTTTACTATATTATTACTACAGACAGTACAAAAAAATCGAAAGGCATAAAATATTTCAAAAAGGAAATTCAGGATGCTTTGAAAGTCCCTTGAAAAAGCTGAAGTCACATATACGTGCAGATTCTCCCATATCAAGGGCATTTAATTTATTAATGTCTTCAGCTTGAAGTTGCCAATCGAATAATTGAAAGTTCTCTTTAATTCTTGTAGGATTTGTGCTTTTTGGTATAGTTATTATACCTTTCTGGATTATATGTTTGAGTAACACTTGTGCAGGAGTTTTTCTATGTTTTTCCGCAATTTTTCTAACGATTAGATTTTCTAATAAATCCGGTATAGTATTTGCTTTTCCTATTTTTTTGACAAATCCACGTGTACCTAAAGGAGCGTACGCGGTTATGCTAATATTATTCTTTTGACAAAATTCCACCTGAAACAAAAAAAATATCAATATTCATATTTATGAAGTTACATATACAAGAAGATAAAAAAATATAGAATTTACCAATTCTTTCTGCTGAAAATAGACATGTAGTTCAACTTGCAAATTTGAAATGGGCAATTTCGCGTTATTTAAAACTCTCTCAATTTGAGCAATGTTAAAGTTGGACAATCCAATTGCTTTTATACGTCCCTCTATCACTTGCTTTTCCATTGCTGACCATATTTGCGAATGATCTGTGTTTACATCAATTATGATTTCTCCTTTCTCATTAAATGGGTGTAAAACTTCACCAGCATTCACATATGCAAATGGAGTATGTATAAGATACAAATCCAAATAGTCCAATTGTAAATTAGCAAGTGATTTCTTAAGACATTTTTCTATATCTTCAAATCTATTGAAACTAGGAGGCACCTATACATTCATAACAAAAATATAAAAAATGATATATTCAACTTCTTCATAAACTTTTTTCTTTGAATAAAAAATTAAAAAGTTGGATTATAGATATTAGAGAAAATATGTCTTTTAGAATGTCTTTTAGAAACAACAAATTTCTATGTTTTTAATTTAGATCCATGATTTATAAATAATGAATAGAATTAACCCACAGAACATTGTGATGTCGTAAATATTATTAAACGTCTTATTAAATTAAAAAAAGACATCTTTAAAACGTCTTTAAGGCGTTTTATGACTCGACTTTGGGACGTCTTATTTTTCAATAAATGATTTTTTTAGACATTTTCTAGACGTCTTATTTGGAATCTTTTAAATATTCTGTAATGACATAAAAATTAATTATATGAAAAGCATTGACAAGAATACAAGGCAGAAATTGCAGCAAGTTTTTTCAAGATATCTTTAAGATATGTTCAAAAGACATATTATACGTAAGATGTATTTATGATATCTTTTAGATATAAAAAAATATTTATGATATCTTTTAGAATAAAATCTTTTAGACATGCGTGCTGTCTGAGACTTATATAATTTAACTTATATAATTTATATAAAATTAAATAAGTTTATACCTTAGTCACAATAAATAGATCTGATCGCTTGATTTTACCGGAATCCAACCATTTTTTTAGAACATTCCCAATAATATTTTCGTTTTCATATACCGCAGCTGTATCTATGTGTCTATATCCTGCTTCTAAAGCTGCATTTAGAGCCACTTCTAACTCCTCTCCGCTAGCCTGTTATATGTAAAATTGTAATTTATATTGTAATAAACGTAATTGTAAATTTATATTTGTTGCATGTTAAAATATGAATAAAAATGATGCCTAAATTGCAATATAAGCTGTCTCTTTATAAACTTACATTCCAAGTTCCAAATCCCAAAATGGGCATTCTTTGCCCTGTTGGCAAAAGTACATATGAATTTTGTGTCATGTCTGATGTGATTCACCATAAAGTAAAGCTAAGACTGCGTATATTTTAAAGTGGAAGCAGTATCCCATTTCTGCAGTACCCCACCATTATTTCCCACACTCCATCAGTATCTATTCTATGCATTTGTTATCTGCAATCTTCTGTATCATTTGTAAACTTATAAAAAATATTGATATCTATCTATATCTATCATATTATACAAATATATTCAAATATATTATTCAAATATGATGAATATAAATTATTTATAGTCGGAAATGTACGAAGTGAATTATATATAGAATATAAAAGAATATTTAACAAGCGCATATTTACAAGGAAAAATGTGATTTAAATGTGATTAAATGTAAGTGGAAGTAATTGTAAGTGGAAAATAAAAATATTACAATATTATCTTGAAATTTCATATTTAACAAAGAAAAAAATTCTAATGATTTATTATATTCATCGATAATAATAACATAAATCGAAACATTTAGTATTTGTATTTCTAAAATATGGTTATTATTTATCCTCATTTCTTGTATATTTAATCTAGCAATCTAGATAATCTATATAGTAACTTACACATTAATATTCATCTACTTTTACATTGCTATAATCATTCAACCGACAAGGTTAACTACTCTTGCGGACATATTTTTATTATTAAAAGGCATGTTAAATATCATGTAATTTTTTCGCTAAATTTGAGAAATATGAATTATAAATTTTTAAATGATTATAAAATATTCTGGTGGAGATAAAAGTCTAAGTATAAAATTCTTAAGGAAGAGATTTATTTCTAAGGATACGTTCATTTCAGACTCATGCGCTATAAATGTTATTCTATCTTCCTTTAGCATGTAATAAATAAATAAAGAATAATACTTATATCAAGTGAAACACAATTTGAGAATCAATATTTTATGAACTTCGATATGGAAAACGAAGAGTCGGAAATTACAATTTAAAAAGGAAATTCTAAATTTTTATTTTATTATACTGTATCATATTGTCATATCATATCATATCATATTCATATTGTATGAATATGCAAATTGTATGTTTTGCTAATACTCGTACATGTCGCAGACAAGTTTAATTTTAATCCTCTTAGATTGCATGGAAATGTGTCCAAGTATAGCAGTATAATAATAGATAAAACGTGACTCAACATATGTAATATTCTTTATTGCTTTATTTTTGAAATTAAAGAATTATTTTTATAAACTTACCTTGTAAATATGTACTTTTATTATCAATAATTATATTATTTCAGATATTACATTTGATCATATAAATGTATATTTGTATAAACTGTGGAGCTGAATGCAAAGAGCTTTTTAGAAGATATTGCCCTAGCGTCCTTAAAATTTTAAAATGTGTAAGTAACATATGAATCCATATGCTTAAATTGCATGTTATCAATTTAATTAATTTTGTCCATTATTTTAGGAGAAATGTGGATTGTTAGCTGACAAATATATCGAATACGATCCTGTTATAGTTTTCGTAGACCTTATTCTGATAGAGAAGCCAGCTTACAGACATCTTTTGTACAACAGCGATTTTAAATCGTATTGGAAGATAAGTATAATATTATGGCTAGCCGAATCGTTCAGAGCTTGGTCTTCCTGCGATATAAACGAAACAGGATTAGTCTCGTCGGAAGTGGATTTAGTTCATAATGATGTACTGCGAGATTATTGCAATTTTTATAATTTGCTGGTACACACAGCGATCGCTTTTATGGCATTTATTTGTGCAGTTATTGTAGTGACCGAACTAAAGTGGTTTATCATCGGTAAAAAACCATATAAATACAGCGTAAAAGATTTAAGTTGCGCTCTAATAGTCGGAGGCTGTGGTAAATTACTGGGATTTCTGGGAATAGTGTGGAGGCACATAGCCTCGGGTCCATATTACCTTCTCATTCAAGGTTACACTGTTTTATGTCTTTTAACTGCGTACTCGGGTAAGAATCCGTTGGAAAATATACATTTTATACGAGACATTCACAATTTTATTGCAACTTCAAAGTTCACGTCCTATTTATAATTTATCTTTGATCAATCTTAATATAATACATACAATACATATTTTGCTTTATTCTTTTCTTTTATTGCAGTTGTCTGCAAGAGTGGAAGGGGAGAATCTTTGATTGGATTAATTACTGGTTTTCTATTGTATGGTTACATATGCACTTCCGTTTCTAAATTGCACCTAAATATTCCCAATATCACGCTAACATGACATAAAATATCTGATAAAACCCATACAATTTTTGATCTTCAAGCATCTTTAACAGGAAGAATGCTCCAACCTAATATTAGTCTATCAAAACCACAAGAAAATAAATTACACACATTGTTATCTTCCAACCAAGTGACAGAACACACCATTCTACGATGACCCTGAAAATGTGATTTATATAGCTTTTATTAGGCATGTTTGTAACATGCATATATTAAATATGTATGTGCATATATTAAATATGTATGTGATATATTAAAAATATATTAAAAATAAAAGAATAAATTATGCAAAATTTATGTTTAAAATTATGTTTAAAATGTGAGATACAAAATATATTTGAAACCTTTTAATATATAAAATAAATGTCCTAGTAATCAGACATGTAATAACGCAGAATTAAAAGATTTTTGAATTTTTGTAAGAATTCGTGATTTAATTATATGATAAACTAATTACTAACATAGAAAAAATATTAAAACATTTTTCTAAAATAAAAACTTAAATTTTAATCTGAATGAACTAATATCCAGACAATCTAATATTAATGTTATTATGTTTTTGTAATATAAAATATTTTTATAATTTATTTTTTTCAATTTAAATGTTTATAAAATAAAAATAAATAAATATTTTAACAAACACATAATGTTTCTTAAAAAAATGTTAAAAATATTGTCCTATTTAGATATCTAAAGTCATTTATGATAAATGTATAACTCAGATTATCTATAATAGGTAATGTTAGATAAACGTTATGGTACTGATTTAGCCAATTCATAAAAAAATTTTTTAAATTAAGTCTATAATCAATAAAATTGCAATATTTCTTTACCTGTCTACTGGTTCTAGGTAACCTTGCCAGACGTTGACCACTTAGATCAAATAAACGTATTTGTCTATTGTCATGTGGTATTGCCACTACCCCGGTACTAGAAACTGATAGTCTATTAGCAGCACTATCTCCACGTATTGTTGCTAATGGACTACGTATATTACGTAATTCCCATACTTTGACACTTCTATCATCTGAACCAGATACAATTTTATCTTCTCTTGTGAAGACTGCAGATGTTACTGTTCTGTAAGAGACACGCTATGTATTAATTTTTTGCATTTAATGTAAAGAAGAGATAGATATTGGAAAAAAATTATCTGTCTTGTTATAATTATCTGTCTTGTTGTAATATCGATATACTTACTCAGTATGACCTTGAAATACCGAAACCGAGTGTATCGGTTCTCTAAAATCCCATAGTCGGAACGTATTGTCTCTGCTGGACGTGACGCATAATTTTTGTGTGTGATGAGTCGACACGTGAGTCAATTCTTGATCGTGTCCACATAACGTATGTATGATCTCTCCAGTTTCTGTGTCATACAGATTCGCTGTTCTGTCCCAAGAAGCTGTAACCAATTGTTCGGCACCGGACAGCCAGTCTGCAGCCATCACAACGTTCGAATGACCCAAAAGTTCGCGTATCGGCGTTCTCAGAGTCGGTGGATCATCTTGCTCATCATTATTACTGATTAGATTATTAGCAGTAGATCGTTCGGAACTAGCTACTGGAAGTTCTTCTAACGATGGTACTCTCTTCGGCATATCCCAATCTACCGCCGCTTGCCAAACGTGAGCGGAACCGTCGCCACTCGCCGACAATGCCAATTCTCTGTTCGGATGAAACCGAACTGAGTTTACGGATCCGCTATGACCGATATATTGTAATAAACATCGACTGCTGTCTATTGCCCATATGCGTGCCGTATGATCTGCAGATGCAGTTGCTATGATGGGTTGGCCTATTCTCCCTACTGATACCTCCCACACTCCATCTCGATGACCCACATACTCTCTCTGCATGGTGCAAGTCATAGATGGAGTTTTAAAACTTGACACTATTTTACTAGTCTGCGCTTTCAATTTGTGAGAAGTTTTAATCTTTTGCGCCGAGCTTGCACCCATCGCTAAAAATAGAAAAGAATATTATAATCCAATAGTTATGTGACTAATGTAATAGTATCATTATTGACTTTAAAAAAATTATTACCATATACTAGTTATTTTATCTTTTGTATCATTCTTACAAAATCTCCTGGAATAAATAGATGAACAAATGGAAAAAAGTATACTAAACTTATAATAGGATATTTTATAGAGATTAACAAAGTATTATATACAAGGTATTTAAATAAAATTTACAAAACTCTGAATAAAATATTTAAATTGGAAACTTAACTTTTGTCAAAAATAAATGATAATAAGAAAATAATTTTTAATACAATTTAGTATATTTACCTTTTAAAATATATCTTGAACTAATATATAAATTAATATGACTGCACTTTTATATGTAATATTGATAATGATATTAAAATAAGCCTTACATTTTTGCTTTGAAAGATTTTTCGTTTCTGGATAATCTGTAAGATCTCCAGGAGGTAAACTGCGCTCACCGGATCCATAACACTCTCTTTCGAGTTTATCATTTAGGATGTCAATCTTTTCTTGTACTGTAATAAAATGTAACAATCTCAATTCATATATTGAATGATAGTGAGATAAAAAAGAATAATAATACTTACATCCAAGATTTTCTGTATACAACATTTCAAATTCTTTTTCTATTTGCTGAAAGAGATCATACAGGCGGCATCGTGTGGCCGGTGGAATTGGGCTATCTTCTAGTTCAGAACGAAAGGTGACATAGTGCAATGCAGTTGGCTGCAGCGGAGTCGAGCCACTCTGTTGGGACTGTAATTCGGTGTCGGTACTGCTCTGCACACGAGGTATCGAAATCCTCTTTGCCTTGCTACTGGATTTATTTCCAGCTGTGGCTGGCGGTTCGCCAGGCATGACTCTCTTAACTACAATGACACGAACAGCAGACGAGCATATCCTAGTGATCTGTCCTCGCGGCATACATCGCCAATCACTCCGACCTCAGCAACGCAGGACTTTGACCTGCATTATTGATTACGCATATCTTACATGACCTGTATCAACATAAATACATGAATTATAGAGAGCATTATCAGATTGAACATGACAATTCTCACATAGTTGTTTAGTCTCGCTTGACTACCCGTGCTCCAGGTTTCATCTTGGCATTCCGCGACTGCGACTATGAACGCGAAATGTCAAAATCAGGTCTCAAATTCGGAGGGAAAAGGGGGGGAGGCGCGAATAAAAAAACAAAAAAAAAGAAGAAAAAAGAAGACAAAAGGGGGAAAACTTTGGATGTCACCAGCTGTGGAGGAAACGTAGCGGGTACATTTGAAAACGTCTCGTTCCGAATTTGAGGCCAACCCTACGATGTCACGCAAAGATCTTGGCAGAAGTATCCGAGGAATCGCGTTATTCGTACCATCTCGTACGCAGGTTCTCGAATGCTGATCTTCTTTCAGATTGCGTCTCTCTAGGAGATATCATCACGTGGCTGATGGTTCCGAGGTCACCGAGCCCCGCTGGTCCTCGGGAAGAAAACAGGAACGTATCTCCGAACTTTAATAGCGCACAGACTGTCATTTGCACTCGAGATTGGAGACGGTGTAGTTACTGGTTTCGCGAGACAATCGGACGAATTCGTCGAGTTTATTTACGAATCTCGCTCTTTATTCCGCCCTCGTTCTCCTACGTTCGCGATGTCACCGAATGAAAATCTCGAACTGTCACGTACACTTTCAGCATTCTCCCCGCCGATGTCCGGCACCGGTGTGTTACTGCGTTTTACAAAGAGTGCAGGAAGCATCATACGACATAGCAGACGGAATATCATGGCCGGAATTCTCAGGCTGATTCACGTTCAGTATTTAGGGCCTATCCAGATATAAAAGTCTAATAGCGTAATGTTAACTTTTTTGATGAAATTATTAATGCAAAATTCGACTAAATAATACGACACACTTATTGTTGATTATTTACATAATCGTTTGAAAATTGTTTACTTGTACATTTCAATAATTTCATATATGTATAACGTTTAGTGTCACCAATAGTAGTAGTGTGGGTGAACTCCGAATTCGCGAATATGTGTTTCCCAAAAGGAAAGCAGTCTTTAATTAGAGATGCTTTAAATATAAAAATGGATTACAAATACTGATCTTAATTCTTTAAGGCAATCCATAAATCATCATTCGATTCAATTCTTTGACAGCATTTAGGACGCTCATGTTTGCTGCTTCATATAAACACTGTCTTTAGGTTCGATTGCATCAGTTTTAAAACACCTTGAAAGTTTCCCGCCAAAACGGGTTTGACGGCGTGACACACTATCGTATCATTTTATTGTAAACAAATATTTACTCGTGTAGAGAATGGAAGGTTTTGACAATCCGGGAGTGTTTTTCTCCGATAATTTCGCGGTAGATGAGGTTGACGAGAACCGCGTGAATCTTCAGCACTCGAAGAAAAAATTTAAAGAATTCATCCGGCAGTTTCACGAGGGTAACTTCAATTATAAATATCGGTAATCAAAACTCTGATTCTTTCCGTGCATTTTGCGATTTCTTTAATTATTCAAGACCATTTTTTCAACGCATTCGATTTCCTATGATTAGGGATACTTTGAAGCGTAATTACAACCTTGGTCAGTACTGGCTAGAAATCAATCTCGAGGACCTAGCAGCTTTCGATGAATCTCTTGCAGAGAAGATCCAAAAGCTTCCAACGGAATATCTGGCTATTCTAGAAGAAGCTGCGAAGAATGTTGCAGATGAGCTTACAGCACCACGCCCCGAGGGTGAAGAAAAGATAGAAGATATTCAAGTATTATTATGTTCAGATGCTCATCCGAGCTCTCTCAGAGGAATGAAGGTAATATTATAATTTTCACAATACCTAGGGATCTTAAGATTCATAAATTTATGAATGAAGTTTTATCATCACACATTGAAACCTATTGAAAGAATAAGCAAATATATATCAAATTATTAAGTGTTAGATATATGATTATATATAATTGCTTTGCTGTTGCAGCCAGATATTGTTTCTAAACTTGTTAAGGTCCCTGGTATAATTGTCTCTGCATCCGGTATTAGATCAAAGGCAACAAAGATTGCAATACAGTGCCGTTCTTGCAAGGTCACTCAAGTCAATATTCCTATCAAGCCTGGTCTCGAAGGATATGCACTCCCTAGAAAGTGTACCACGTAAGTTTTCCTTAAAAAAGAAAAAAACATCTTTCAATGCATCATGCAAATAATTTTCATTTGCTATCAGTGAGCAGGCAGGTCGACCAAAATGTCCCCTGGATCCTTTTTTATAATGCCAGACAAATGCCACTGTGTAGACTTTCAAGTGCTGAAGCTTCAGGAATTGCCAGATCACATACCACAGGGTGAAATGCCCAGACATTTACAATTGTATTGTGATCGGTATTTATGCGACAGAGTTGTACCTGGCAATAGAGTTCTAATTCTTGGAATATACTCCATTAAGAAAGTGTCTAAACCAACCGGCAAGAACGCAGGCAGGGAGAAAACATTGGTAGGCGTTCGGGCTCCATATATTCGCGTTCTTGGTATTTCTGTGGATGGAGAAAATACTAATATAGGTAATGAGTGTAATAAAAATATTAAAAAATATTCTTATGATAATAAAAATGAAACCATTGCTAAAAAACAATCTTCAGTGACCTGTATTTAGTTCTCTTCTTTTTTCCTACATAGGAACTCAACCGCCTGTTACATCTGAAGAGGAAGATCTATTTACCCGTTTAGCAGCAGATCCTAATTTGTATGAAAGAATCGCGAAAAGCATAGCTCCTAGTATTTTTGGTGCAATTGACATCAAGAAAGCTATCGCATGTTTATTATTTGGTGGATCCAGAAAATTAATGCCGGATGGATTATGTAGAAGAGGAGACATTAATATTTTAATGCTGGGTGATCCGGGTACTGCTAAATCACAATTATTGAAATTTGTAGAGAGAGTTGCTCCCATAGCTGTTTATACATCGGGAAAGGGTAGTTCTGCAGCCGGTTTGACAGCCTCTGTATCAAGAGATCCAGTAACTGTAAGTTACATTCTTGTTAAGAAATACTTTACAATTAACTTAACGTAAACAATTCATAATTAATGCATAATTTTATAAAGTTCATTATACAAATAATTTAATAAATAATCTAACTATTTTTTCATACAACGACAAATATTGCTTTTAGAGAAATTTCGTCATGGAAGGTGGCGCGATGGTCCTCGCGGACGGCGGAGTCGTTTGCATAGACGAGTTTGACAAAATGAAGGAGGATGACAGAGTGGCGATACACGAAGCTATGGAGCAACAAACAATCTCTATAGCAAAAGCAGGAATAACGACAACTCTGAACACACGATGTTCCGTGTTAGCAGCGGCAAACTCGGTTTTTGGTCGTTGGGATGATATAAAAGGCGAAGAGAATATAGATTTCATGCCGACAATATTGTCACGTTTTGATATGATATTTATTGTTAAAGATGAACATGAACATAACAGGGATATAACTCTAGCTAAACATGTTATGAATATTCATTGTAACGCTGGTCAGATTACAGAACAATCGGTAGAGGGAGAAATTCCTGTACACATTCTCAGAAAATATATTAATTATTGTAGAACGTAAGTTTGTCATGTCTTATTGCATATAATAGTACATCTCATAGAATGTAACATATTTTTCTCGATTTGTTTAATAACAGGCGTTGTGGCCCGAGACTTGATGCAGAGGCAGGAGAAAAATTAAAGAACCGTTACGTAATGATGCGAGCTGGCACGAGAGAACATGAGAAAGATTCTGAAAAAAGATTATCGATACCTATAACAGTCCGGCAGCTTGAAGCTATTATACGAATTTCCGAAGCTTTGGCCAAAATGCAAATACAACCCTTCGCTATTGAACTCCATGTTAATGAAGCTTTAAGACTCTTCCAAGTATCTACGTTAGAAGCCGCAATGTCTGGATCATTAGCAGGTATGCTACAAATTAATAAATATAAAATAAATAAATATATATATATATTATATGTTAAAATTTGCAAAATAAAAAAATATTGTTTTCTTGAACATATATGTTGAGTCACATACAATATGAAAGTTTCATAAAAATAAACGTCCTAATATTTTACGTATTTTAAATTAAACGTTATAATAGATCATATATATCATATATTTGATATGTAGAACCCAAAGAAAATACATATATAAGAAGAGCTTTATAATATGTGTATTATAATTTATTATTAGGAGCAGAAGGATTTACCTCGGAAGAGGATCATGAAATGCTCTCCCGCATCGAAAAGCAATTGAAAAACAGATTTCCTATCGGACATCAAGTATCTGAACAGAATATAGTGAAAGATTTTCTCAAGCAATCGTTTCCAGAACGTGCTATTTATAAAGTTATACATACAATGATACGTCGTGGTGAACTTCAGCATCGTTTGCAACGCAAAATGTTGTATAGGCTGCATTGAAGAGTAACAAAAACATTCTCCATATATCATTACGTAATACGTATGACGTATTGTTGTGCTCATTTGGTATGTAATGTAATTCTTTTTCAACTATTTTGATACAAACTAATAACTTGCGTGTTAATTTACGATTATGATAGTTCATTTTTAAATGGATAATGCGGATGATCTTGAACTCTGAAACGATATAATAACCACATGTAAGTAATGATTTTTATAAATTTGATATGATTTTTATAAATTTTAAAATATATAACTCTAAATGCATTTATGGTAAAATAATATCTGAAATAATTCTCTTTAACTTACCCTTTAAAAAATAAGAAATTAAAAATTCTTCCATTGGCACCTTTATCCAAGGTACTCAAGATGTTCATATCTTCTTCCGTCAAGGCAAAATCGAATAAATCGATATTTGACTTGATCCTTTCTGGAGACGTGCTCTTAGGGATGATGACGACATCGAGTTGTAGTAAATGACGTAATAAGATCTGTGCTGTTGTCTTTTTATGTTCCGCGGCAATTTTTTGAATAACCGGATGGTTTAGCAAGTCGGGAAATGCTTCTGAAGTGTAGTTGTATTTCGTTTGGAAATGCGTCTTTGCAGCTGGAGAGCCTAATGGACTGTAACCCGTAACAACAATATTGTACTTCTTACACAATTCTCTAATCGGTTTCTGTTGCATATATGCATGTAATTCCACCTAAAACACAAGATTTTATATATTATCATCTCTTATTATATCTGTCATTGATAAAAATTTGTTACTTGACGCATAAATTTATGTGGCGAGCAATGATTTACCTGCAGATTGCTTGGCTTAATTTGTGCATTTTCCCAAATGGTCGAAATTTGTTCTTCGTTAAAGTTGCTTAAACCTATAGATCTAGTACGCCCTGCTCTAACTTGTTCCTCCATTTCCTGCAAAATAATCCTAATCCTTCAGAGATCTCTTTTACATCATATAATATCTTATACATTTGATTTAATAAATTTCACACCTTCCATACTGAGACAGGATCTGTATTAAAATCGAGTATGTAACTTCCATTTTCATCCGTCGCTGCAACAGACGTATTTTCATCTAATTTAAATGCAAAGGGCATATGAACGAGATACATGTCTAAGTAATCCAATCCAAGCTTCTCCAACGACAATTTAATGAACTTTTCTACATCGGATGGTCGATTGCCAAAGTGAGGTAACTAAAAGCATTATTACAAGATTTTAAACATAAGAAAGACAGCAACTAGCGTTGTAATAATAGAAAATAAATCGCGATAGGTATGTTACCTTCGTTGTGATAAAAAGTTCTTCTCTAATGCCACCTTTCTCAAACCATCTTTTTAAAGCCCTACCGATCGCACTTTCATTATTATAATTCGCTGCTGTATCAATATGCCTGTAACCACATTCTAAAGCAGTGCTCACAACGGTTTCGATTTCTTCTGGTTTAGCCTGGAGAAACAGTTGTTTTATCCTCCTTATTAGATTGTTTCACATATATCGTGATTGGTAATGATGACATAAAAAAAATATATGTGAGCAATGAGATACATTACTACGGTCGTCAAAGCATACACTCTAATATTATTTTATTACCTGCCATGTTCCCAATCCCACTGTAGGCATATCATATCCTGACAGTAATCGTATAGAATGCATGCTTGATTCTCTCATCAATATTCTATGGCAACAAATATAGCACAGTTGTTACATTAAATTCTATTAAAGCAGCATCGTCATTAGAAGTGGTTCCACGTTTAAGTTCGCAATAGCTAATTTCAGATCAGATTTCGAGTACGAGATTAATGCGATGATACATACTTGGACAGGTTGTTTCTAAAGTTAGAATAGCTGCACACTAGCGAACTAGCGAGTCTCTAAGGTCCCCGCGCATCGTAATCGCAGTCATATATATCGTTTCAAAGTCATATTGATTCGCGGAGAAGGGTTGCGCCGCAGATAATTGATTTTAGCGAGAACGTGTGTGCTGTTGCATCGAGAAGAGAAAATTAAATTGGACATTGTGATAAATAATTACATTAAAATTTAATCTAATGAATAATGCTACGAAATTCTGAATAACTTAAACCGCCAACTTACATGAACGCGTTTCTTATCGTTTGCGTGTCGCTAATATCGTTCAACTTTCAAAATTTATCTCCAAGATTGATATTCTACGAAATAAAGAGTTGAAACATAACACGATTTCCATGAAGTTGAATATTGAAAATATAAGATAAAGGAATACATAAAAAGTGATCATAAAACATAACACTGGCTGCGGTATGCAATTATATTCACACGCGAATAAAAATGAAGGAAACTACTGTGTCAGGATTTAATCTTAAGAATATATTTTTATATATAAACAAAGAATATTGGAAAAATCAATTTATATCGCATACGAAATATATGCACATCTTTCAAATATATTTTAATTTTGTAGGAAGAATTGAAACAGAAATGTGTAATGTCATGGTATATATTTATATATAAAAATTCATTTTAAAACATCACATCTTAGTCTTTTTTTTATTAAATGCTGGTATTGAAAAATATATAATATATGCAGTACAAAAAATGTGTTTAAGTATCAAAATCTTTCATGTTGATCAGCATACATTTATACAATCACTCATCACTATTGACATCTTACATAATCATTACGAAAATATATTATTCGGTTTCGATATCACTTATATTAAAGTCAGATATCCGCTATCTGTCAAACTATAAAGTATCTCTACAGGCTTAGACTTTTCATTCCGTAATTCCTTCATTTCCTCGCATATTTGTTTGATATACTTCTTGTGTCGTGGATGTCTAATAAAAAAATTATATAATTAGCGTCATTGTCATTAATATAATTCGTTTACCTCTCATACATATAATTAAATACATACATTTTTGGATACTTACTTATCTATCACAATCTGAATGCTCTTTTGAAAGACTTGTTCCTCCTCGTCGATTTCCAGAAAACTGATTATCGTTCTTATAACGGACATTTCCAGAAAAACAGCGAAAATCTCTACAGGAACTTTATGCGATATTCTCTGCAAGTAGGACGACATTTGTGCAAGTATAGTGTTCTTGAAACTCCTTCTGCCACTGCCGGATAGTTTATCTCTCTCGGAGAGAATGAAATTGATGTTAGCGTTGACCGGATTGCTCGGCGTTACTATCACATCATTCGCGCTCATTTTACTTTCAGATCTGCTCAAAATGGGCAACGCGGTTTCCGATTGTCGTTGTAAATATTCAACGATATCTTGAATAGTATTCCATTTCTTCTCCTGAAATCGGTCTCTCTCCCATGTTTGTACTCTTAAAGTGCCATTTCTTAATAATACTATATGATTTATAGAATTTTCTTGGCAGTATTCTAATATCTCTTCCATAGTACATAGATCTAACGTTGTAACCTTCAACCCTAATGACCAGATTTCTCGTAATACATTAATCATTTCTTTCTCTCTTCGTCCTTCGCTTCCTGGACTTCCTTCGCAACATATAGCCACGTCAATCCCGCATTTATTTTCACCGCTCGAATTCTCCTCACGCGTCTCGGTGACGGCAGATACCAATTTATCTAACGATATACTAATGCCAGCACCGTATTGTTTTGTTTCCTTACTAGCCATTCCAGTGCGCTCTAAAACTTTTCTAAATGACATCAGCATCTTATCATATCGACCGCCCGCAGCTATGACGTCTTGACCGCCTCGTCTTCGTCTATGCTTTAATTCGCAAGTTATTTGATATATCACACCACTGTATTGTTGTACATTATATGTTAATAAAGGTACGACAGTAATAGGCCACTGCAACAAGATAAAAAGGAAAAATAATTATAGCTTATGAAAATTATACATGTATAATAAATATAATATTGTTGTATATGTAATAAAGTGTAATATTGTTATATAATATTACCTTTACACCAAAACTTTCTACATTAGATATTACAGTTTCTATATCTTTCAAGCCTTCTTTGGCTAAACCTGCAGCGTCCCCTTTTCTTCTCGTTATTGTCCTTAAAACACTAGTGATTTTTGCAACGGAACTTTCCGTTTCGAGCAAATTAAAAAGCGTTTCCATAGCTTGATCGGTAAGACATAAGCTTATCAAATGCGTTTGGACTTGGAATTTAGTTAATTTTCCGTCGCGAGCATCCTGCAGAATTGAATATATATCCTGATATTTGTCCTTCTCCACGCCGCAGTACATCAGCACTGCTTGTAATAGCGACGTGTGATTTAGGCGCACTATGAAATTATGTTCTCGGATCTGCGGTAACTCATTAAAAATTTCCCATATGATAAAGATTAGTTCAGCCTCCATTAGCAAATTATTGTCTACAGGACTAATGATGTCGAAAGCACACTCGTACAATTCTCTAGGATGAAATCCTCGAGCCTAGAATAATTCAACGTAAACATTATTTCACAATCATATATGAAATATTTTAAATTCAAAATATGACTATTGTTTGAACCATTTAATGTATTGTCGTGATTCAATATATATATAAAACAACATATTCAATATATATACCTTTTTATCTCTGAAAACACGTTCAATAGCATATCTTCGAATGTGCGAGATATTATTCCACACAATGTAACGAGCGAAAGGAGTGCGAAGATCGTGAGGTATGGAAACTATACTGCCAGTGCGTGTCATCAATTTCACGCTAGATTCGGTAAAGTTGGAATGCTGAAAGGATTTAGGCATTAACAATGGGGTCGCGACATATATTCCGCCGTGCTTTTGAAATATCTCAACGATCTTCTGCTTCACACTTTCTTGCAAAAACTGCTTTTTTGAAGAAAGAACACTTGGCGTTTCCCTAACAGGTAAATTCATGTCATAAGTAATATCCTCTGCCGGCGTAACATCTTGCGTGAAGCACGATGCTACTAGATACTTGTACGCTTTACTTTGGCTATTGGACAACGTATGACGCATCATTTCTTGCAATTCGGTTTCTTCCAATTGAGGTGGCGGCAAATATGCGGAAGAAAGTAATTCGTGAGCGGTAGGACGTTGACTCGGATCGTGATTCAGCAGCCAACTAATAAAAGAATAAAGAATTTAATATTCTCACTTCGTATTTCATATAATATATAATGACGTAACGCGTATTGTCAAATTCAATTTTTTACCGTATAATATGAACTTGAGACGGCGCGTCTGTTTCTGCTATGTCAGGAGGAAAGACGATCTCTTTGGAACGCAAGTTCAACAAAACCTTGACGCGCTCCATCCCAGTAGTCAGCGGCTTGTATGTCATTTCGAAAAAGATAATTCCCAAGCTGTAGATATCCACTTTTTGATTGTAAATTGCTTTAGCAGCTTTTGTAGTAAGTTCAGGAGCTACATATAAAGCTGTACCAACTTGGCCGGTGAGAGATCCCAATTCTTCCAAGTCAAAACTTCCACCTAGATAAAAAGTAAAGATATTGATATAATTTGTCACTAATATACTATATAAAGCAACATTTATATAATTACGAATGAATCGTGTACGAGATTATACGTGTAAATACAAATTCATACTTATGCCATGAAAAATTATTTATATAATACATGATTAATTTTCATATATGATTCATATGTAAATGTAAATTCCACATTGATATACTCGTACCTTTCTCAAATTGTGATTCTTTATCCGTATCGATGGTTTGGACCAACGTTGATAGTATATTAGTCGTGGCTAATCCAAAATCTCCTATCTTAACGTGATCGTTACTATCCAGGAAGATGTTTACAGGTTTCAGATCCCTATGTATCATACCCTGTTGATGAATGTGCGCTAGACCTTCCACGATTTCACGGAACAATCTCCAGACACGTTCCTCGTCTTCATACAAACCATTATCTATAGCTGTTCTCAATGTGCTTTTCTCACAAAATTCCATTTGTATATACATGAATTGTATTTCCTTTATCATCACATCCTCGCTAGAAGTTTCAGTGTCTTTAATGTCATTATTTGATACATCTGATGCTATTGCAGATTTTTGTGATATACCATCTCTTTCAAATTCAATACTATCGGAAGATTCGATACGTAATAAGGTTCGCATTCTGTGAAGATGACATTTTTGCGAATTAGATATTAATAATAAATTAAATAAAAGTATTAAATACAAAGAGATTTAATATTTAAAAATACAAAAAAAATCATCTTACAGAAATGCGCAATGTTCTTCGCTATCCGAATCAGTAGAAGTGTCGCTATTCTCATCATCACTATCAGCGACATTGGCTCGAGATTCATATGATATATTCCATTCAACATCGCGTAACGGCGGTGCAAATTTTTCTATCTCATCGCTCTCCAGATGCTAAAATTCATTATGTATTTATATAGCAACAGAAAGACTGATTATAATTATTGATTTTAATTTTCTAATACATTTAAATTTAGTTTAAAATAGAATACTCTCGCAGCTCTATTAGCAATACCATCGAGAATATATTTACATTAACTATGTCTGCTTTGTTCTGCGTAGTGGTCGTTGTGTCTGAAAATGTGGTAATCGGCGTGAACTGACTGCGTCTGACCGAATCGTCCAAAGTGGCACTTTCGATCCATGAATTGTAATAACGTACCACATTTTCATGATTCATTCTAGAAAGTAGTTTCACTTCACGTGTAATTTTCTTATTTAATTGTTTATTCTTTGGATTTAATTTTATTCGTTTGATAGCGTAAATACCGCCATCCAATTTGTTTCTCACTTTCAAGACATCGCCGAAGGCACCTTTTCCCAACCATTTTAAAACTTCAAACTCGTTCTGTATTCGCGATTGTCCACCCATTGATGGTAAGTGTATGTGAATATCGGTGTCTGGTTCTTCCGGCTCCAAGTTTTTCTCCTTCTCATCATGGACCGGCGTTGTGGGTGATAAACCTCGTTCTAATGGTATTCTTATAAAACCATGTTGCTGCAGTTGTTCCGCAGACCAACGCATCCGCTCGTCGTCGATTAGACATTTCGAGATAAAGTCCCTGAGATGAAGCTGAAAAATCATTTAACTTGAGATATTAGCAGTTTAATTAATTAGCATTTTAGAAACAAAAAAGAATGTACGCATTAACATATAAAAAGCGCATCTACCTGTGGAATTACAGTGAGATCAATCTCTTCTCCAGATATGATAGTTCCTTTTAATAAGGAGAGTAGTAATATTCCGTATCTATATATATCCGCTTTTTTACCCCCTCGGCCTTGAATTGTTGGAAAATCGTGTTCAGTCTTTACTAAGGAATTTGTATGATACATATCTGACAATCTCTTATCTAAAGAATAATCGGATAATCTGACAACACCAGTGTGATCTATATAAACGCTGGTGTCGCGCAGATCTTTATGCACTACATTATTCTCATGAAGATAATGCAACGCCTCGAGAACACCCGTTGCCAAGTGTCTCAACATGTCGACGTCGACTGGAATGTTTTCCATTAGGAAGAACGAGCATGTGGTGCCAACCTACTTTTACATACAATCGACATTAGAAATATGAAAATTATTCTTAATTCTGTAAAACATTATTTGTGAAACGAAACGATATGCATGCACGCATCTACATACCACAAATTCTTGAAGCACGTAAATCATCACACTATTGTTGTTTTGTAGATATTTCATATTTAAATAATGCACAAGATTTGGATGATGCAATTTGTACAAGTGATTCAGTTCTTGCTCTAAACTGGCTATTTGTTTCATGGCATGATGTATATCGATAGTTTCCTGAATGGAATCATTTGCCATTGAGCATTTTAATGTCCATTCTGTGATAGCTAATAGTTCACCAGTGGTCATATCCACACCGGCATATACTACAGAACCCTTTGTGCTATGACCTAGGCATTTTCCTCGGTGCACTTGCCTCTCGCCTTTATTACTGTCAAAGTGGATGAGTTTGGTACCTCTATGCTCACACAAAGACCCTTCAGAACTTTCCGATGTACTGACACATCGACGTCTAAAACGGCTCGTCCCTCGCTCATGTGGAGATGATGGTATAGATCGAAAGATAACATCAGAGTCAGTGGTCAGTCGAACTGTTTCTTTCCGATTACGCATCTCAGCCTTCAAGGCTTCCTGACGCTTTTGTATAGCATCTTGTAGAACCTGGCAAAAAATATCTATGACAATGATAATCAATATATATGCAATTTAGATATACAATTAAGGGATTAAAGCAAACCTGTCTTTCTTTATCTTCTTTCATTTGCTGCTCTTGCATTTCACATTGTTTTTTTTCCTGATTTCTTGATACCATCTCTTCATAAAAACTACTGTAACTAGGTTTGTTATGCTCATGTAAATATTTCTGGACATGTTGACTGAATTCAAAGATCATAACTTCACCTTTCAATTTCTGTGCCAAATTTTCAAGCTCCGATGATAAAACTGCAATTTGTTGATGAGACAAACCTCTGCTATCTTGGAGCTGAATAATTGGCACCCTGAAATAAATATTTAGGTGTCAGAGAATGAGAATGAACTAAGAAAGATAAAATCAATATAAAACTTACTCATCAGGATACTTGTCGCAGCATATAACATGTAAATCTATCTGTGCATAGATTTCTGCTGGTCCAGACATACCTTTCTGTGGCGTTAAGGTAACAACAATGTCTAAGGGTTGCCATTTTTTTTTATTTTTGTTCTTCCTCAAATCGCATAACTCATCACCGAAAATAGACTGTCACAAACAGCAGAGAGATAGGATTATTGAGAAAAGCATATCGCGATTTAAAAGATATAAGATTGCAACATATGCACTTACCTTCAAGACTTCCAATTCATTTTGCTGCCGGACTTTACACGATTCAACGTGAGTCATTTTGTCACGCTGCTATTCACCCATTGTACATGGAAAGTTGGCTCGAAGCTCCAAATCAGAGGTAGAATACTCTGGAAAGAAAAAGAGAGGGTAATCGCGATTTTCTCCGTCTTCTCATCGTGCGTGTGTATATAATATATATATATATATATATATATATATATATATATGATTTGTGTTTATCTCGAAGATGAACTCAACATGAACCGCCTCTGCGGCATCGTCGGTGCCGTCGAAGGATACAATCTACACGCGTAGATCCGGTGAACGCGCGGATGACACGTGTTGAAATACGCACGGATGATTAGAAACGATATAAATTGTGTTTGTTTACCTATAATTCGTTCCGAACGAGGCTACATCGCGATGTGTCTCAATACTTTGCTATTGTTTCGCTATCGGAGTATCGTAAGTTCAACCTGCTTCGAGGCCCGCTCTTTAACGCTTCCTGTATTCTGCGTAAACTGTCGCTATAAAGCCTTGTGTCCACGACACTAAAAATCCGAGATTTCAGATAGAGAGAGAATTGACCAATTGCATTTGAATAATTTGACTAATTGTTCAATACGATTGGTCGATTTTGGTTGATTTATATTCTGAATCATCTTTTATTGATAAAAATGCTTCGTAAAATGGCTTATAAACCTTCTGATTGGCTGTGAGCCACTTGTAAATTTTATATCCACGAAGCTAAGAAATAATGATCTGAGATCTTGGATCGATTTTTAGTATTGTGAACGTAACTTTACAAGTGGCTCACAGAAGGCTTATAAGCCACTTTTACAAGCACTAGATATTACAAACGCGCGCTACGCGCGCGCTATTTATCTTTTTCAACACAAGAGCAAAAATTAATATAATACTATTATACTACTGTTACATATATTTTTAATATTTTTAACTTCTTGGTACACAATTGTCAGAACAATCCTCTGTGAGATCAATACAATGACAACTATTTACGAAGTTAGCACAGCGAGAAAATCAATCGGCATCGCGGAAAAGCGGCAATAATAATTTCGAAAGATGCGGGTATCGATGCCATGCCTTTTTTCAGAAAGGATTTTTATCGATAAAAAATAATTTAGAATATAAATCAAAGAAAGTTGACCAATCGCGTTGATTGACTTAAGCCCATATCAATTGCTTCGAAGTATTTGTAAACACAAATATATCGCATCCAGATTTTACTTTACCAATTAGAAAAAATATAATCAATCTGAGTTTAATAAACTTCATTCGGATTGATCAAATTTTAATATTAGTATTATCATTAATTTTAATCTTAATTGATATTAGCATGGGAGCCTCAAAATTCACATCCGAATATATATAAGAGGATGCATTCAGTGAAACAAAATGATCAATGAGCAGTCAGTGATTTTTCCTATTCTCCATCAATTAAGATTTAGACCAATTATGTTGACAAATTATTTAACTATTGTCTTTTCTGAATCGACCAGAGCGTCACGTTTGCTCACATTCCAATTAAACACGTCTACTCACATCGGTCGATGTTTAGGAATTTTCCAGTAAATCACCTATCAAAGAACTCTAAGTCCCGGTCTATAACAAGGGTACGCAGTCAAGGCCTTACTACAAACGCTTTGAAGCATTTTTACATTGACTGTAGCTTAAGTGTAGTAAGCCTTAAGCCATAAGAAATGGACGAATCATAGTCGAAAAATAACAGAATAATTGACTATGATTGGTCAATTTTGTATGACTCAAGGCTTAAATCCTCACCTATTGTAGACCGGGACTAAAGCTTATTTCACCTCACAGATGGAAAATAGGTTTGTTCGTATTGCTTATAATAAAATTTCCTGTACTTAAAAGGTTACGTTCCAAAATTCTTCTCAATGAGTACAATAGGATTTCATTCAGAAATCTTTAGTTTTTTATCAAAAAAATTGTGTGATTGCTCAATTAAACATTACTTCACCTATCGAGTACAATTTTGAAACTTTAGCGAAGTAGGATAGACATATTCGTGGAAAAAGAAGAAACGAGAAATTTAAGTGCAAGAAGTACAAGAAAAGCGAACAGATCTACTGCGTCATGTTGTTTCTTGTCTCACACCGTGATCTTCTCTAATCATTGGAGGTGCAGGTGATCGTGTGCTGACTGAAATTTCCATTTAATTTTTCAATTAATAGAAAACTTTCGACGTAAATTGAAACACCACGCGATGGTTAGTTTTCTTTGTGTATACAGTAACTTATTATTTTTTTTTTCACAGCAGAAATTTACGTTGACAAAACGTTCGATAATATAACCTTTTCTTCTTACTATTTGGATTTTTTGTTCATACAGTGCCACTTATTAATTTTCAGTAATTCTTTCCTATAGTGCAGTGATGTTTTCAACAATCGAGACAGGGAAAATCCAATCTTTCATTTGACAAAATGATTTTCATTATCAAGCTATCTATCGTCAGAGATAATCATTCCGGTGATATATATTTCTTGTCAATAAAAGAAAACTCTTTTTGTTTCAGAAACCTTTGATGTTGCACGGGCACGAACGTGCTATCACCAAAATAAAATATAATAGAGAAGGAGATTTACTGTTTTCTGCTAGCAAGGATAAACAACCCAATGTCTGGTATTCTTTGAACGGAGAACGTCTCGGCACCTTTAATGGCCACAATGGCTCTGTGTGGTGCATTGACGTCAACTGGGATACCACACGATTGTTGTCTGGCAGTGGTGATAACACCTTGAGAGTCTGGGATTGTCAAACCGGTTTGTATATACATAATAAAGTTATAGAAATGAGTTGTACCTATGCATAATATATGATTATGTTCTTTGTAATGTTGTTCAGGCAAAGAAATAGGCCAGCTGACTACGAACAGCTCGGTGAGAACATGCGGCTTCAGTTATTCGGCAAACCTTGCAGTATTTTCCACTGACAAGGCCTTAGGTCATCAATGTGAAATGTTTATCATGGATGTGCGAAACGTGGACTCTACATTATCACAGGAGGATGCAATTTCTAGAATCTTGGTCAATGGTCCCAGAATTTCTGCTATATTATGGGGTGCTCTCGACGAGACTATTATCACAGGTCATGAAGATGGTGAAATTAAACTTTGGGATGTTAGGGCAAGTATCATCATCATCATATTAATTATGGAAATATGCGCTAATGGATAATGATGTAATAATATTTGTAATATCTACAGACGGGAAAGAAATTGTCCAATGTTAAAGGGCATAAATCTCAGATAAATGATATGCAATTCAACAAGGATGGTACTATGTTTGTGACTGCATCTAAGGATCATACAGCGAAACTTTTTGATAGCGAGTCTTTGATGTTACTGAAGACTTATAAGACGGAAAGACCTGTAAACTCAGCTACGATATCGCCTATTTTTGATCATGTAAGATACATTTCAAAATGATTTGTTAATAGTTTTAAAATATCCTAAAATAAGATTAATATTTTTAGTCAGTATTTGTTTTGTCATATAATACTTATACTTATTATATTTCTATATAACTTCTATCAAGTTAAGAGTTATATATAAATATTAGTTATATATAAATATTACATTTGTTAAATAGATAATATTTTTCTACAGGTGGTTCTTGGCGGTGGTCAAGATGCCATGGATGTTACCACAACGTCCGCGCGACAAGGTAAATTCGATTCGCGATTTTTCCACTTGGTGTTCGAAGAAGAATTTGCACGTTTGAAAGGACATTTCGGTCCGATTAATTCCCTCGCTTTTCATCCCAATGGTCGTAGCTATTCTACAGGTGGAGAAGATGGATATATCCGTATTAATAATTTTGATCAGTCTTATTTTGATTTTCATTTCGAGTATTAAATTAATTGATCGAGAGACATTTGTATATGAAAAAATATATATCAATATGGAATATATGTATACAACTGTGTATTAATTATTTTTCCAAACTATATGGATTAAAACAGTAGTTTTTAGAGAAATTGTCTAATAATTAAGTATTATCGTTAAATTTTATTTTCATATTAGTAGAGAATATTTTCAATAATTATGTGGAACAAATAATACAACATATTATACATTTATATTTGATTTTTTCTTGTATCATTTATCTATTATGTATTCTGATAATTTTAAGAAGTTTTATATATAATTTTATATTTAACACATTTCAATAAAATTCAATTTCAAAATAACAAAATATAAGATATGCAAATAGATATACAATTACAATTCACAAGCATTGCTAACTATGATTTTGCTATGTGCTTTGGGAGGTATTGATCAATGAGGTATTCTACCTGATAATCAAATATTTTTTAGGAAAATTTTATTTTTCGCTAATTTTTATCATTTTTAGGAAACATTAGTGGCCCATCGATTTGATCTATTTAAAAAAATATTTTATGGCTGAACTACAGCGTATAAGTTGATATTAAAAATTTGATATAAAAAAAATAAATTTCTAATCACAAATATAGATCTTTTATGCATATCTTGTAACGAGATGAACAAGACAAATATATATAGATAGATTTTAATCATATTTCTTGGTTAACACATACAATTTTCATTGATCTTCGTTAGATTGTAATAAATTTGGAAACATAATGTATATGAAGGTTCGAAATATATTGCAAGAATTTTAATTCAATGTTGATACACACTTTATTTTTATAATCATATAATATTGTACAAATTATTACAATAAACTATATATTTCTGTAATTATGTCTGTTTCTTAGTTTTATCAACATGGCTTGCCATAAGCGTTTGGCAAGATAGCAGAATTAAATAATACAGCCATACAGTGCACAAAAATGCACTATCTCGTATATCTTTCACTGATTTTACGATTTCCTCTAAAATTATATCCTACAATAACGTACAAAAAAATTATATCGGGATAAATTGAAATTGCTAAATTAAACCCGTTACTTCTTTTATAACGTCTATCTACATATGATGTAATCCTATAATCGTTTCGGAGTGTATACAAGAAGAAAATGAAATGAATAGTCTCTTCTTGTGTACTACATTATATTGCTATACTATATAACTTTACATATTTATATATATAATATCGTGTATGTTTATATTATATATATACATATATAAATGTAAATGTACGCCGCGTTGTGTGTGCTAACAGGATCAATGTTCCATTTCATATTCACGTTTATCATTTATCAGAAAAAATGTATACACGAGTTGTGTGTGCCATCCTATTTTATTGATATATTTCTGTATATTATATTCTATGTTAATGTACATTTTTGTTTTTATAGGAGCGTTAAAATAAAACTGGATATTTTTCTGCTCTTATTACAGTACACGCGACTAAAGGGATTCAAAAACCTATAGTAATATAGATACAATTTACAAGTTCGGATTTAAAAAAAAAAACGAAGATTTTTCATGTTACATAAATTATTTCATACACACAATTTTATGAAATATCATAAATAAAGCATGATGATAATTTCAGTAACTATTAAACAAAAAAAAAGTCTGACGATGAAATGAGAAAAAGTATATCATGTCTCCAGAACCAGATGGTAGCTAGTATACACTTGTCGTTAGTACCTGTATACCATAGATTCGCGAGACAGTCGTGGGCACTCTGGTCAATTAGTACAATTTATCGCATCGTATATCGTTCGGAAACTACTTCGCAAACATGATGTTTATCATCCTATCAAATCGGAGATTAAGGACAATTTCATTGTCCCAAAGTCACATTAGCATCATAATAACAAAATAGAATAAATTCGAATATATTTATCTTAGAAAAAGAATTTACATTATAGAGAATTTGCTATGCAAGAGAGTAAATCCGTATTGCGCGTGACGTATTACGGCGCATTTTCGTCATATTGAAATGTAAATACACTTGATATTTCGCGTAAAAGTCCATGTTACACATATAGGCGTTTATAGGTCGGGAGTATGCAGCTCTAGGAGTTAACCAAGGAATCAGACTGAAGGCCACCCTTTAATGTTTTTACAGTCTATTTTATGTAGGTCCGATAACAACAATAAAAATTCTTAAATAAATATATATCGGTATAATCATTGATGGAATATTATTACGCAGTCAACTAGTTTCCTTTGTTGTTCAAGAGTTGTAAGTTTTTTTTCTTTTTCTTTTCCCTCGTTTTTCGTTTTTTTTTCTCCTTTAGATGTTGGAATTAATTCGCCTTAAAGCATAGTATACATACACATGTACACGTTAACGGCACGTTAACCACTGTACGTTCGCAGTGATCGATAATAGAGTACCACAAAGAGTTATGCGAAATTCGATCAGACAAGACACAAGTATCACTCAAGCTCATCATTGCTATTTTCCCCTGCCTTGAATCGCACCGGATCTGGTTGTGGGTTTCGCCGGTTGCGGAATAATCGTGATCTCGTCGTTAATCTTCAATGGCTTTAGAAGCGAATCGTTCGATCTGGACGATGGAGACGCGGGCGCGTTCTTCTTATCCATTACTCTCTTCGCTACGACACTGTGCGCCGAATACACGTGATTTTCGAATTGCTTATACATTCCGAATGTGGCAGTGCAAACTGTACATTTATATGATAGATGTGCTGGTTTTAATGTCATCCCGTGATCTCGAGCAACATGATTTAATAATTTCCATTGATATACCTAGAAATCAACACGAACAAAAGTCACACAAATAACGCTTATATTCTCGCTTTCTTTTTTGGAAATAAAAGCTTTTATTATTAATCAAATAGATAAAAAGAAAAAAAGAATAAAACTTACCCTGCCACAAGCTGGACAACGACCTGCATCTTTCCCTTTATTTGCTGCCTCTTGCATACTGGACGTAACAAGTCCATGAGATCCTAATAAGTGTCTTTCCAAACCCTATTCAGAGAAAAAGAATGTAAACATGTAATTTTTAATGATTTTTCTTATATTCTTAAAATCAAATCAGAATTGAAATTTATATTTTATTAAAATTGATGTCTAGAGAATACTCTTATATAAATATATCGATATATTTTCTACAATTAAAAATAATTGTAATTATAAAAATATTTTATTAATCAATGACATATAAAAAAATTACCTGATCTGTGAAAAATCGGAATTGGCATTTCTGGCAGTTTAATGGAGGTCTGTTATAAATCATCTTTGGATGTATTTTTACTTTGTGGATCCATTGCATATGATTTCGTAATTGTTCTAGATCCTAAAATAAATACAACGGTATGTCATATAAAATAATATGCAAAGATTTATATATTATTGTATATAACTTATTAGTTATTAATTATCTACTATATATAATGTTCGATAACATAAAAATCAAAAATACAATTCTATATAATCAAATTTTTTATAATCGTATAATTTAAATTTTCAAATTTGAATCAATTTATATAAATTATTGCTGAATTGTCTATAGAAAATTTTGTATTTCTTTTTAAAAATTTTTACGCAACTCCAAACAACTCCAACAAAAGTATCATAGAAAATAAAAATCTATAGATTTATTGTGCATTTACCTTAATATATCCATCACAAATTTCACATATAACAAACGTATTTTTTCCTCCAGATTTTGAAGAAGTTCCTGATCCTGGAATGGAGGTTTGAGATGTTGTACGTGGTAATGGAGTAATAGATATACTTGGCTGACTTAATAATTTTGCTGTAGGATTTTTTGGACTGGCTGTTGTGTTCTGAAAAATATAAAGTACTGACGTTATTTAAGAAACACGGAATTCATGTCTAATCAATAATGTTACTTTCATAAATTATATAACAATAAATATTTTTCATTATTATTTATTAATATCCGCCTAAAAGATCTTTTATTAAATTTGTATATATTAATTGTAAATTTCCTTTTTTTTCCCAAATAATGTGTTTTTTTCGACTTGACTCAATTATATTCTGCAAAGATTAATAATAATGTATCAAATATATGAAACATTGTTTCCCAATTTATTAAGCTTTTTTATGACTGTGTAATAATTTATTATATCTTTAAAGAATTAAAATCAACATCCGTATTTCTATTAAGTAAAATTATTAATATATTAGTTGTGATGGAAATTTAGCTTACATTGTCACACACGGACAGAAAGGTGTAAAATGAATATCGGGAACATAGATATGTCCTTTAGATATTACATATATGTATACCATTAATTATACATAAACTGTCGATTTGTATAAGTAAATGTAGGTAAGTATGTTCTCATTAGCAGTGTTAAGATTTTTAAGCAACTACAAGTACACAATCGTGACTAGATTTAGGGAATGTTAAAAGCCCCTTTTTTGTTCTTTTTGTATTTGCAAGACACATCACTCATGCGACATCTCACGAAATCAGTTACTCTCCCCGGTTACTTTCCAATAATTATTTACCTGTGACGAGGACAACCTAGACAGAGAGTCGATTACGTTGGGTACAAGTGCAATTGGTGTGGGTTGACCGGAACTGCCGCCGCTACTGCTACTCACTCCCGAGACAGCCGACATGACAGTCCCAGAGCCACCCACCACCTGCCACCACCCATATATCTTGTTTACTAGTTCTTGGAGTTTTCAAATGTATTTAAAGTGATAGAGTTCGCGCGAGCGTGTACGTGTTTCGCGAGCACCATTACGAAGACCAGAGAACGCGTACGTCTCAAAGAGAGAAAAGAAAAGAAACAAAAATGACATATATCTATCACTTCATTGTTAAGTGACAAATGTAATGCATGAGACATGTATTATACGACATGGTTATTCCCAATATTTTTTTTGCTTAAGTTAACAGTTCTCTTGTGAATGCCGATGCAGTTTTGACTACCATGAGATCATACATTATACAAATACTCTACATGTGCGATGTATTCCGCGTTAATGAATCACAAAGTTTAATAATATTAGCATTTTTTATACAGACAGTAAGAGAGTACCGTTACTATATCCTTTTCGCAATTAACTGGATGGCTTTCGTCGGCGTATATATACACCGAAGAAAATTTGATTAAATATATGCTGAAAACTTCCATCTTTCTTTTAATGTTTTTACCCATCTTATATAGTATTTATAAATATTGATTTAAGTACGCGCTTTAGGCAACTTATGTTCGTACTTTGTTGAAGATGGCGTAAATGTCAATTTATGATAAAATAAAATAATATGTCTCTCCAGAAAATAATACTTAATAAATAACATCATAGTAGCCGAATAGTATGCAGATATAGTTTAATGCAAATATTCTGGGTACATATAGCATGAAACTTTTATGCAGCATGTGAATTGCGTTTTCTTCTAATCTTAAAAAGGGCATGACTTGTCATAATTCTCATTGCCCTTGTATGTTAGTAAGCATATTGAACTTATAAGATATATATATATATATATATAAAATAAAAATATGGCAGCATACAAATCATAATATATAATTGTGTAATATATATTAGCGCTTCCTAAAAAGATAACAACGAATATGTGTCCATTGCTTCTAATATAAAGATTTCGAATTAAAAACTCGTTCATTCCTCATTCATTCTTCGTTTACTCTGGCATATATTCTTTTCTCAATTTCAATAAAGTACGAGTTTTTAATTTTTAAACGCATTTGGTGATTTATCTTTATCGCTAAATCTAATTGTTAATATTCGCATATGCCCAATGAGTACACATTTATATAAGAGAAAATGTTATTATTACCTGGAATATTTGGTTACTACCAAATTGATAAGACGTGGGTACCAATAAACCAGAAGATGTGGGACGATACATCATTCCTGCAACATTGTCTGAAATACAGCTTACATTAATAAACATCGTCGATACAAAGTATAAGAGTGTGCAATAGAAATTTCTTTGAAAAAGACATTTTCTTTTGCTATGAAAGCGCTATGAAAAAAATTACCTTGCCGCATTGTAGTAGCACCTGGCCGCAATGTTTTCAGATCGGTTGTATATCTTGGTTGCATTGGCGGTCGTCCTCTTCCACGACCCGTGATTGGCGTAGGGAGCAATTTTGGTAACAATGGTTGAGGACCTTTAGCGCTCATCGCCATGGCTGCGAGCGCATTCGGATTGGTTGGACCGACCGGTCGCGCACGATTTAGACGCGGTATTTTGGCCGGCGGTTCCCAGTCCACCGCGGGCTCTAGGTTCCTTTCCGGTCTAAACTTCTTCGTGCAGGCGAGGATGTGCCGCGTCAATTTACCCTTCTGATTATCCTCAAACGGACAATTCGGGCATTGGTGGAAAGCAGGACCACGCTCTAATCTGCCGCGAGTATTATGCTCCGCTTCCATGTGATATAGGATATCGTGTGGACTACGAACTTCCATCGGGCAGAAATTACACTTGTAAACGTAATTGCGCATATGCGGGGTTTCTAGATGATGCTGCATGACTAATGTCGATTCCGTTTTAAAGCTACAGAACTCGCATTTCTTCATTTCTAAATGGAATGGTTCGTTATTTTCTTTACTAAATTCTAAATTCTTGATAAGTGAATTAATAGCTATTTGAGTCTCGGCCGATGTACTACCCTTGCCTTGTTTACGCTTTTGAGTCCGTAAGAGATCAGTTTGCACAAACTCCTGAACGAGGTTCATTCCGATTTGCATAAAGAACTTTCCCAATGGCTGTTCGAAGTATGTCGGTATTTTATTTCTGTCATCTTGCCTTAAATCATGTTTGTCACCTATACTACTGAATCCGTGCTCGATCAAGTCGATCGAACTGTCTCGATCATCGTCGTCTCGCTTGCTTTTTCCTTCATTTTCATCCTCAGATTTATCGCTACCCCTTTTAATAATATCCATAGAATCATCTTTATTTTCTTCATCATTCTTATTCTCGTCAGCGAGTCTTCTCAACTTTTCTTCTTTTTCTCTCTCCTCTATGTTTCTTTCTAATTTGGTGACATACTCTTTTAATGGTTTTAAAGGTGGTTTTTCGTATACATAAGGTACTATGAAAGATGGTGCTTCAACCACGAACATATCGTCGGTCAAGGTCGGTAATATCGGCGCTATCGTTGGCGTGACTGTAGTCATGCTACTGGTTTTCGGACTCAACTGTGCCGTTTTTGAAGTCATGGGTACTGGAGTGATGGTTGTCCTCATATTGGGATACATCGTCTGCGTTGTCATGCCGCTCATTGGGACAACCGAGAATGGGCTGGAGTTGGAGACAGAATGATGAGGTTTGCTGTTACTTACGGGCACTCCGCTGCGTCCCGAAAGGATGGAGTTTGTGTCTATTATAACTAACGTGGGCTCCTTCTTTCCGCCCTTGACGGATTTACTACCGGCAGCGATCTCCACCAGCCGCTTTGTATCGTTAACAACGATAGTGGTTTTACTGTTTCTAACTGGTGACTTCAGCTTAGAATTCTCCTTGTCTTTGCTGTCGATGACAGCCAGTGGATCTTCCGGTTTAATCTCTTCTATGTCAGATCCATCGTCGTCCACTTCCTCCTCCAACTCCTTCTCTATGTAGCTCGTTCGTTTGATGTTGCGCGAACTCCTTCTTGGCGTGATATTACTAAGATCTACCTGTTTCCGTGATTTCCTCTGTTTCATGGAATCTTTCATAGCACGTTCCAGTGACGTATCGTGATCGCTGTTTTTCGCACTGTCAGTTATTTCCTCGATATCGGGACTGCCACAACTTCCGTTCTCTTCACAGAGCTTGACATCTGACTTTTCCATACTGCTGTCAGCAATCTCATCATCACTGTCACAGCTACAGTTTGATAACATGTCATTGTTGCCCTGCTTCTCAATGTTTTTCTCCGACATAAACACATCATCATTATCCAGTTGTATTTCTGTGATACTCTCATCGAGACACTCTACATCAGAGTTATTACTCTGTTCATCTACTTCCATAACTTCATAAGATGTGTTTTTACACTCGGTTATTTCAGTTTTAGACACTTCACTAGAATTGTTCGTCTCACTGACACCATCTGATGATTTGGATACTTTAAAGTCATTTTTCAAATCAAACTCAGTTTCACCCTGCTTACTAGTATTACCTATAGCTTCATTTTGTTCACTGTCTTCATTCTTACTTTCTTGAATCTCAACTGCTCTTTCAGGATCATCCTCGTCATCCTCCTCGTCACCTTCTTCCTCCTCCTCCTCTTCCTCCTCCTCTTCTTCTTCATCATCATCCTCTTCCTCAGTGATAATATCCTTTAATGCAGTCTTGCTCATATCATCGCTAGTATCCATATATTCTTCATTGTTAGCACTATAGTTCCCATTGACACCATTTGGGATAATCATATCTGCAAACAGTTAGGAAATGAGTTATAATTAACACAAGTGTTCATTGTTTGTTAAATAAATAAGATCTTAATTATTTTAAGACACCAATAAAAGACATAAAAAAAATGTATCAGATTCCAAATTATTAAAAATAAAAGTAATAAAGTAATAAAAATAAAAAGTTTGAATTTTATTTAAGCCTGTAATTTAAAAATAAATTCATTACGTCTAAATTTATTACGTTTAACATACCATAAATATTTCTAGTAACAAATGTATTCCTGCCTTTAAATATAAGATTATAAAAATTCAAAGCAAAGTCTTCTAAATTATAAATATTGCACAAAAATATTGCATGACAGTATAAATGTTCCAAAGCAATCTACTGAAGACATTTTCAGGCTGATACCAAATAACAATGTTTAAGTAAAATGTCACATATAAATCAAACTATATGATCAGTAATAAATAAAATTTAACGATATTAGTTCCATCAAGATTTCTTCGCGCTTGTAGATAAATGGATACATACACGACATTTATGTAAATTACAACAAGAACTTGCTTTACAATACATATAAAAAATAATTATTCTGTATTTTTAAACAGACGAAGATGTCGGGATTATACTCGGATGTGGAATTTGATACCGGCTACAAAAAGACGTTGAGGTATCGCAGATAAGTCTCAAGATTTACAGAAATCCAAGAAGATGTACAATCCAGAGGAGGATCTGGACGCGAACCAAATGGTCGAGAGGCAACTTCACCAAGCGTCACAGTATGAACACGTACAACCGCGGGACAGGCGGCTACGCTCACCTTTCGGATGCTTGTCGGGACTGTTCCGAGAAGAGTCCTTGGCAGCAGACTCTTCCAGCGTGCCTTCCATGAGTCCACCGCGGTCCGCCGCGCGGTCGATCTAAACAATTAACGATAGCACTGATAACAATCGGCAAGACAGGACGAGACGAGACGACGACGTTCGTTCAGGCTGCACGTTCTGCGACCTCGCGGGGCGGCCTGACGGGGGTGCGAGAGGGGAGAAGGGAATTTTTAGCGGGGCCGAATTTTTCAAAATGGCGCTGCGAATTCCGCACTTGCGTCCGCTCTCGCTCCCATAACCAACAAACTTCCGTCCGTCCCGAGGGGGATATCCGACGTCGCGCGCGCACGGGCACGCGGTCATGCCGCGCGCCCGGGGAATTTCGGACGAACGCGGCGACAGCGACGGCAATGACGACGACGTTGTCCGAGATTCCTGAAGCGTCGTCGAGTACACTCTCTCTCTCTCTCTCTCTCCCCCTCTGTCTCTCTCTTTTTCCTCTCTCTTGGTGCGCGAGCGAGTACACGATCCGCCGTGCTTGCACGCGCGCACACGCGACGACAACCGACGGACGAACGAACGAACGGACAGACGGATGGACGGACGAACGGACGGACGGACGGACAGACAAACGGATGGTCGAACGGACGGACGGTCAGACGGATGCACACGAACGGGTGTTCCGAGACTCCTGGCCCCGAGAGAATTCGCGCTAAAACAGTTAGCGTCGTTTCGCACGAACTTGTGTTCGCTAACCACCGCTAGCTTCCGCGAGTCAGTCGCCAATCAGTCACTCACTCATTCCATCAATCCATCAGCCAACCAGCCAACTGGTCTGTCAGTCAGTCGTTGATGCCGATCCTCCGTGTGCGCGCCGCATTTCGCTGTCTTCTTTTCTCTTAATCCTCGCAACCTCTTCTCTATACCTACACCCAGAAAGATCCCGACGCACGCGGAGTATACGTGTACGTACAGGGTAGCGACTGCGCGCGCGCAAAGCTTTCCGACGAGGCGCTACACATTAGACAGGCACGACAGGACGATGAGGATGAGGATGATAAGAACGAGATAATGCACATCAATCGCGGATTCGCGGATCTCTCTTTGTAAATGTCCTGTTCGCGAATCCGGGGAGGTTTCGCATTACCGTAACCGTCCGCGGGATACGTCGTCGTCCAAGAGCGTGACGTTTACACCACGAACCTCTCGCGATGTACCCCGGCGTCGTGAGGAGGGGCTCAGGCAAGAGGGAAGGGAGGCAAGAAAGCGACGAACTCGCGCGACGACTTTGGACTCCGGGCTTGTCATCTCGAGAGAAACGTTTAACGAGAGAGAAAGAGAGGAGGAGGGGGAGGGAGAGAGGAAGAACGGCGAAATCCTCGGTCACCAACCAGGACGGTGTCAACGTAGAGGTTATAACGCGTTACGGTAACCCGGGACGACGAAGAAGAGAAAGATCTCTCTCGACAGAGAGATGATTCTCCTCTTTCTTCCGATCAACCTGACGGATGATCGACGGTCCAGATGGTCCTTTCCGCTCCAGATTGAAGGAGGCAATCTCCTCCGGGGCTCTTTTCTCCTCAGCGGTGTTCGTCGGACGCGGCTGCTCTCGGGGCATCGCATCGACGCGATCACTCCCGCGCTTACCGACGCGATACGCGCGTGTTTTCTTCGCCAGCCTGACGTCGTCGATCCCGTTTCGAACACTCGGTGGCCCCCTCCCGGTCTCTCCTGACACCGCGAAACGCTGGTCGAGACGAGACGAGACGAGACGAGACGAGACGAGACATCACGTCACGTCACGTCACGTCGCGTAACGTCATTCCGCACGCGTTCTCTTATGCTCTTCTCTTATGCACTTCTCGCTCCTATTATTTCTCCCTTTTCTCTTTCCCGCTCTTATTCCTTGCCGTCGCTTCCGCGCGCGCGATGCGGGCAACCGCACCGATCTCGGAGTGCAGGAAGGTGCACGCCGACGCGAGACCGAGAGCTTGCGGCTCTCCTGAGCGCGAGGCGAGACGAGGAAAGGAGAGGAGAGAAGAAAGAAAGAAGAGAAGAGAAGAGAAGAGAAGAGAAGAGGAGAGGAGAGAAGAGAGAGAAGACAGGAGAGGCGAGGCGAGGCGACTCCCAGGTGGTGTTTACCGTATCCAGAAACGCCTTCGTTTCCCAATCTGAACGCGTCCTCGTTTATTCCCGGCGACGGGCCCTCGTCCACCCTCGTGCGTCGACTCGCGATGGTTTCAACGACCGTCAGGAAGATACACTCTTGGGCGATGCACTCGACTCGACTCGATTCGACTCAACTCGACTCAACTCGACTCGACTCGACGCGCCGCCGAGGACGCGACGACGCGCGCTCGAGAGCGCAGGAGCGCAGACGGACGGACGAACGGACGGGGGAGACAAACGAGAGAGAGAGAGAGAGAGAGAGAGAGAGATAGCGCACACGCACCATGCACGCACCGGTCGGAGTGTAAAAGCTCGTTGATGCGATCCAGGTGATCAGCGAGGGTCGCCGTCGCGGCTTTCATTCATGTCGCGCGTAATTCTCACATCATGCACTCTCCACGCGTCTTCCACTCTCGCTGTCCCTCGTCAGCTACTGCAAACTATGCGTTGGAAAGTAGAAGCTCCCGTTCTCGAGTGTGCGAGAGTGCAGAAGGTACAGGTGACGCGCTAGCTGGGAGCCGCTTCCCTCCCGCCACCACCCTCACCCCCTCCGTCTCACCGGAGAAGTTGAGGTTAATTTTTCCGAGTTCTCCAGTCTTCTCCAAATGCGAATTTAACGTGCTCCCCTTTTCTCTCTCTCTCTCTCTCTGTCTGTCTTTCAGCTCGTCCAATCGTTCGTCTAACGTCCTAGTCGATTCTGATCTCTCCGAGAGAGACCTTGATTGTCGCATGACGTATATACGCACCTAGAGACGAGGAGCAAGAAGAAGACGAAGATGACGAGCGTACAGCGATTTCACGGCGAGGGCAACGACGGGGTTGTCTACGCGAGCGTCGGACGACGCGACATCATCGCGATCCTCGTCGGTGACGGCGACGTCGTCGCTGGCTGCCGCCCGTGGTGCGGTGTCCGTGTAGGGCAGTCGCGATATTCCCTTCCGATAATTACTCGTGGGGGGCACGGGGTTACACGCGGTTTATTCACAAAACCTGTAAATAGGGAGCACACATTCATCGCTGATGATTGGCACACTAGAGGGCAGGCACGACGGATGGGAAGCGTTAAAAAAGTTGCGATCAGGACCGTAGCGAGGACCGCGGCGCGCATCCCCTCCGATCCCCCCGGCGCGCTTTAAAGGCCCGTCCAGATGAGAGACTTGCATATATTCCCCTTGCATATTAAATGTATATATGTACGTGCAAGAAAAATCGACCAATCGCGCGCGCGCACACCGACGCGACGAACGCGACAATATGGCACCCCTCGCCCCCCCGCCCCGCCCCTTGGGGCCAGTTTGATTAGTCGTCCCTGCCTAACCCACGGTAAATCCGTCTGGATGAACCTTCAGAAAGTACAGCTGCGCTTTTGTTTTTTTTTCTTTCATGAGAAATATCACCGGGGGGGGAGGGGGAAGAGAGACAGGAACAGAGAAGGTGGAGGAGAGAGGCGGTTCCTAGGAGAGATCGTTGTCAGATAGGTCCGTTGTACGATGTCCGTATCGCGGATTCTCACTTATGAATTTACTTGGATCCCGACATATCTTTCGGCACAGCAAAAATACGCAATCAAACCTGTACGAGATATCCCGCTTTACTACCGTGTCGATTTTCTTCTCGATTTACTTCCCCGGCCAAATTAGTGTCGTTTTTCCCCCCTACAAAGATGTCCGCCAGCTTTCGTATAATAATTTGCAGACGGAAGCAGACTTTCATAAAATATCGTAAAATCGTATCCTCCAATAAATCGTAAACAGATGTTGAAACTTAATATTTCCATAAAAATGGAAGAATGGCTTTGAGATCGAATCCTGATTAATTCACTCGGTAATCAATTGTGTAAAACATTTAAAAACATTTAAAAAGTATGATGTGTCGTAATGTATTAGAGACAACGAAAAATTAATAAATAATACAATATGTAATATGCTAAGCTAAGTCTCAAATAATTAGAGAATAAAGAAGGCAACTCTCAGCGAACTCGATCTTGGCAGTCTGATAATTTTTCTTTTATTATTATTATTATTACTACTACAATTATTAATTTTTGGCGTGTAGTTCGTGATATAAGCAAAAATTAATTTCAAATTTATATATATATATAAATTTATTTAAAAATTATTTACATATAAATGCGAAATTAATTCTTGCTTATATCGCGAACTACGTGCCAAAAATCAATAATTTTAATAAAATAGCATTGAAATAAATTAACCATTGATTATGTTAATCGGAATTCGACCCAAGACATTTTGAGATCCAAACCGCTGAGAGACGTTGCTCTCTCGACGGGAGAGCTTTACAGGAAAAGTCGACCTCAAAGCCAAGTGTGTCTATTAAGCTCTAATACGATGACGTATCTTTTCACTGAGAAACGCTTTATCTTATAAATTATTGTCGAAAATTAAATGTGTGATGAAAAGATGCTAAAACATAATAAACAGAACCCAAAGCTATCTTAGGGTCATCTTATCGCGTTAAGACAATATCCAACGGGGAAGCGATTAACTCCGGTAACGGTACAATGCCATGATGCCAAGAGGAAACGTGTAGCACCGTGCACGTCCTTCCGTCCTTAAATCCTCCACTCTCGTCGTTTAACTGAAGTAACAGTCTCTCCGAGAGTTTCTCAATTACGAGAGAGTTAATTAAAAAAGATAATTATTAACTATCGATCATTGAATTAATTTTTACGAAACGTATTTACGAAACATATTCATGCGCTCGTTATGTTCAGAATAATGATGCAAGTTTTTCGGGGGGGGGAGAGGAGGGGGGAGGAAGGTTTCCGAAATGTGTCGCGTTGCAGTGCTGCACGTTTCTTAACGAGCTAACGACCGGCCAGGAACGATGCGTATGCGTGGGCTACATCGAAATCAATTTTGGATTCCTCGTCTTCTCTCCGCATGACGTTTTTAACTGTTGAAATCGTTATTGTGCGCTCCGACGGTACACACAGCGTTGCCAAGTTTAGTACACGCAAAATCAATGCCGTAATAAAAGTAATAATAAAGCCGTTGAGTAGGAGTGAATTCTCGTATGCAAAATGGCTTTTTCATTGCAACGGGAAAATGTTCTCGGAATCAGTAAGGACTGAAAAATTTGAGATCCCTCTGCGTAACTCGCTCGATACCTTCTTAGATAATTTATCCTGCCGACATATTTTTTAAGGGAAAGAGAGAAAGAGAGAAAGAGAGAGAGAGAAAGAGAGATTGCAAGATAATTTATATTAAAAACTTGTTATTTTTATTTATCAGTAAGATTAGTTATTTCTCTACACAAGAGACACGTAGAAATTCTAAATATTTAAAAAAAAAAGTGTTAAAAAATTTAGCAGATGTTTTTTTTTCATGTATTTTTATACGTCTTTTATGTTTCATATGTATGATCTTTTTATATACGAGTTTCTAAATCACAGACCATATAAAGAAAGGAACTGAAAGAATCAGTGCAAGAACGAATCCCGTGACTGAAGAGTTTTCTAAAATGTTCAAATTTTTAAAGAATGTGAGCATTTAAAACGCGTTATAATGCGTTATACAAAATGGAGATATTACACGGTGAATTTTGCGCTGTTTAAGGAATTAACATAAACGAGTGGCCGACAAACTTCCCGATTTCGGAAATTTACCTCGGAGACGAATTCGTAAAGTGAATCTTTCAATTTATTGACTCACCTATATCTCGTATCGAAACCGATTTTGACTTGAACCACAGCGAATCAATGTCACTATTGTCGCTAGAGTTGACCTTTTAGCGTTCGCATTTACGATAATTTGTATTTACATAAAAAATTGTTTTCTACATCGTGATTATGACAGTCGATTGTAAATGCAGCGCTTCCTCGTCGTAGAAACGATACTTGCATTCGTGCAATTAATCGCACGACCGTGGCGCGAAGTTGGTCGTTTTAATTTGCCATTCCTCCTCTTCGCGCCCTTGTTTTTTTTCTTTTATATGACAAAAGGAACGATAAACAAGCTCGTTTATTTGTAATCCTTCGAGGCAAGAAGCGAGCGCGGGTAACAGCGAACGTGACGGAGGAGCGGTGTTTCTCACGATTTCACCATATCTGTGTTTAACACGCGTAATTCAATCGCCGTTATACTTTTACTGGTGTTCGTAAGCTTAGGATTAGCGACGTTGTGCGCTAAAAAACTTCAACTAAAAAAAGGAAAAAAAAAAAGAAAAAAATTGCTTCCCGATTCACAATCCGACGATAGCCGGATGGCTGTCATACATCACGTGGAATCGTAATTTCAATTAGCATTTCGCAAATTTTGGAATTATCTTGAAATCATAATTTGAAAAAATTAATGTCGAGTATTAACGAAGTCGTTACGATGAGTTTAAATACTTAATTCCTGGAACTATTATGGTTTGTTATCGATATGGGTTATCTCACAAAAATCAGAGCCGATCTTCTTCGAGTCTTATCTTAGTTTTCACAAAGTGGACGAGATTAATCTTAATTTTCATAAAATGGATCAAAAACCGTTCGAAATAAAATTCTTTAAATTATTAGCGACCGCTCAACAAACAATGGAATTTTAAGCTGCCAATCGCAATTAAGATATTCGCTGTCTTCCAACGACGTGGAATCACGTATTTTCGCGAATTAAAAAAGGCAGCCGGTGACGTAATATCATACATATCTTTTCGCAAATTAAATCCGATAATCATAGTTTTTACATATTAATATCAAATTAAATTTTATTCTCAATAATGTTATTAATATGATGTCATCTTATTTTGTTCATGAATAATTAAGATTTATTGATGTCCTCGTAAGTATCTTCAATATATATTTTCTTGCGTAAAAGAATAATTAAGATCATGTACATAAATTAGACGTTTCCAATTAAAAAGAAACCAATAGATACAAACTAATAGTAACATTACATTAATCTTATGATTTTTTATTTACCAATATAATTATTATATATTACAACATATTTTATATTTTATTCTGATTTATTCTGATTTATTCTGACATAAAACGTAAAATATCTCGTAAACCATTCATTTTTTGATAACCTACTTTAATTTTTTTTCATGCATAGTATAATGTATGAATAAAGTATAAATATCATGTAAACTATTGACCTTTTGATATTTATATCTTAATATTTTTATATCCAGATTAATCAGAGGAATCTCATACTGCGTAACAAAAAATATATGTAAGTATACAAAAAATATATTTTAAAAAATAGAGGATCATAAAAAATCTCGATAATAGCTCCATCTGAAAATGAATTAATATCATAATTATGTAACCCTCTCGAAATCTTGTAACTTTCGTCTGAAACTTTTTTTTAAAATTGCATTGTTTGCGAGATATTTGACTGTATCCAGATTTTTGGCGCACTTGTGTGTGCGTGTGTGTGTACATCTATATCTTGCTGAATGGAAAATTATAATATTAATATAATGTTGCTGTTATTGTTTATTAGAAAACTGACTTCAGAGCTCGGAAATAAAATTCTTCGAACGTCAACATTTCTGCAATTACACGATCATATCGTCTATCGCGAAAGAGAGAGAATGTAAATGGTGTCAGTGCCCCAATTCTAAGATTTTATTATAAATGATTTGAAGATAATTTGCTATACATTTTTGTTCCTTACCCTTACAAAGGCAATTCACGTAGAATTTACGGTTTATCAAATTTCGGTACAGAATCTTCCAGATATTCCTTCTCTCTTACGTTTTTGTTTATCTATTTCTTTTTCTTTGTCGATGAGTGAGTGAGTGAAAGATGGGAGGGGGGGTGTGGAGGAGGAGAGGATGGAGAGAGAGAGAGAAAAGGG